GTTCAAGTTCATTTTAGATGCAAAATAGGGGGCTGGGGATCAACTGGGATTCTGGGAGTGGTTGTTCTACTCCCATAATAATTATATTGGCATAAAATCAGGCTCCATTATGGGTGGGCACAGTTTGATTTCAGTCACGAACCTGTGATTCTGGAGAAGAAAATTTTGCACCCGGTTCCGGAAGACTGGAACCTGGGTCAGGCCTGATTCGGTTTATTTTTTTAATTTTTTTTTGAAAAGACAAGAATGCCATCCATTAACAATTTTGTTGTCCTTCAATATATTTTTAATCGAGGGGCATTTTTGTTTTTTCATATGCTGATATGCTATTGGTGTGCAAAATCAAAGATTTTTAAAAACGGGGTGCAAAATTCAATTTGAACAATAAAATGGGGCGCAAACTCACCCCCTTTTTGTAATAGTTAATGATTTTTGAAAGGAAACTAGACTTATATTAAAACACCAAATAAATCAAAAGTTACAATCAACCAATATCTCCAAATCCACCGCTTATCTTTCAACAAACTGCATCTAGACTTAAAAGACACCCTACAAACAGATTGTAGACGGTCACCTCCGAAGAAGCAACACGAATCACTTACTACCAAACGGGCTAAGCAGAGTTCTTATAGACCTTTAAGGTCACCATACTATTAACCAATTCACTAGATTCATAAGCATCAAAGGATTCTCTCTGTCCATGATCAGGCATATAAAAGTATACCCAAAATTGAGCGAACCTTTTCGCTAAACATAAGAGAGAGCTTCGAGGCAATTCCCTTTGATCATAGTAATAGTTAATGTTAATAGTCAACATTGTGTATTGACAAATATCAAATTAAAAGTGTTACAATTATTTATATAAACTGGGGTTTAATGTACCAAAACCCTCGTGAAATATAAATTCGACGCATTAGCCTCATGTGACTTAAAAATGTGTCAAACTTCCTGTGTTATAGTTATTCATGGGGAAAACCCCTTCTATGAACAAATTTAATTGTCAAATAAATGAAAAAGGATTAGTATATTTGTATAATTTAAAAATCTTGACAAAGTCAATTCCATTTTTAATCATATTATTAAGAAAAGTGATTTCAAAATTCTAAATTTGTTCATGGAGGGGGTTTTACGCATGAAGAATTTTAACACATAAGGATTTGAAGCACTTTTAAATCACAGATGGCTAATGTGCCAAATTTACATATCATGAGAGGGTTTGATGCATTAAACATGTTAACTATACTTTCATAAATGGTAAATGTCCCACGCACGCACTCGCACTCGCGCGCGCGCGCGCACACACACACACCACCCACACACACCCACACCCACGCACGCACGCACGCACGCGCGCACACACACACACACACACACACACATTCCTGTCCGGAATTTCCGGACAGGAACCCCCGTCCGGCCTCCTCCATTTGGGGGCTTTCCCGGTGTTATTTTTGCTCCAATTTTTTGTGTATGTTCCTCATCAAGTCTAGTTCATCCATACCAAATTTCAGCAAAACATTCAATCGGGAAGGTCGTCAAATGATTTTTTAAAGTTAACTGGTCCGGAATAAGTATTTTCCGGACCAGTTAACTTGCACAAATTATTTGATGACCTTCCCGATTGAATATTTTGCTGAAATTTGGTATGGATGAACTAGACTTGATGAGGAACATACACAAAACATTTGAGCAAAAAATACCACCGGGAAGGCCCCCAAAGGGAGGAGGCCGGACGGCGCTCTGGTCAGGAATTTCCTGACCGGAAGATTACTCTATATATATATATGACAGACCTTATATTATTTATTTAACACCACAAGTTTACATATGTGAATGAAAAATCATATGATCATGGTGCTAACATAAATTTTTATATAAAAATTTAGAATCTTTATATTATGTGCATGTTTGGAAGACATGAGTACCTGCCTTCTAGTTTTTCATGTTATGTGCATGTTTGTACTATTTAAAAAGTCTCTAAAAGATTCTAGTTGTATGTTTGGCAAACCAAGTTTCAAGATTTTTTCAAAAATTAAAAGAACTTTTTTGAGATGCTACAAGGAGTAGCATCTGAGAAAAGCCCGTAACTTGTAGTATTAATTGGTCCTAACATCTTGTATACCAAACTGAGCTAAATCAAACAGTCAGCTTTTTACCAAACAACTACCACCTTTTCTTTTTAAGATCTTTTAAGTCACTAGAAGCTAACAATTACCACTTCTGTCGCATTTTATGGGTTTCCTTTGAGTTTGGCACAATTATTAATAAAGTGGTTGAAAAGATAAAAGTTGTGGTTGAGATCTAAGTATAATAAAGTGAAATGACGTGGACTACATACTTCTTTCCAAAAAGGGAAAGTCGATACTTATTTTGGGACATCCCATTAAGACAGGTAAAATGGGACATGAGGAGTACTAAAAATCTCACAAAAGTATCTTTTCAGCTAGTTGTGCCAAACATCACCTATATATGTAAGTTTGAGGTATTTACTTCACACTCTTTCAAAGTTTGAGGTATTTGAATTATTTTTTCCCTTGTAATAATACAATATAGTTTGTGTAGATTACAAGCTAAGTGGTCCAAAAATAGAAATAATAAACTGACAATGATATAAAAATCAAAAATAGCATAATAAATCAATATTAATATCACAGTAATTGATAATGATTTAATAAATTGATAGGGAATAAATTTCAGTATTCCATAGTGACATAATAAACAAAAGGTGACATAAATTTTAGTGATCGACATAATAAACATATTTACTATAACATAATTTTTAGTGATCGACATAATAAACATATTTATTGTGTTCGCAACTGATAATGACATAATACATTGACAATCACATCAAATCGCCAATAACATCAGAAAATGTAGTTGAACTTATAGTTTTTCATTTTAATTATTTTTATCTATGCTTAAAAGACAATCAATTTTTAGAGTTGAGCTTAAATATAGTAATATTCAAGAAAGAATCTGAGAAAGAACTTATAAAGCCCATTTAGTAACAATGAAATTGGCTCAATTAACTCAATATGCTGAATTATGGAAAAATTACATTTAAAATATATTTCATTAATGAAGAAGAAAAAAAATTATACGAAAATAGCTAATACGTAGTATGATTCTTTACATAATTGAAAATAGTCAATTCCATTAGAAAATATTTTCAGCTTTACTTATATTAATTATTACATAATCTAGTCAACGAAATAAAAAATTATTGAATTCCATAAATAAAGTTGTCTCGTAAAGTTCATAAGTAAAAATAGCAGTTATCACATAGACTTAGTAAACTATTGGCTTAAATACATTTTAGTCCAGGTAAATATGAAACACATTTTGTTTTAGGTTCTTGTCATTTTTTTCATCCCTATAATATGCCTTATTTTATTTTGTAATCTATATTTGACTATGAGAGATTGAGACCACTCTATTTAGAAAAAGTTATTATCAATTGCATAATACTATTAGAAACTTTTAAACACATCATTTTATATTTTTTGAGGCTTATACGTGAGTTACAACAAAGTAAATATTATATATATTTTAAATATGTACTTCGTATTACGAACCTTCTAATAAATAAAAATAAATACTTTTTAAATAACGTAACATAACAAAAAATTAGTGACAACATATTAGTCGGGAATGTTTTGTTGTCAAATCGAGATTGTTATCACCGGTGATAGACTAAAAAAACTAACATAAATTATAAGGATGGAAAACAATACTATGTATATAATTTGTAAGGATGTAAAACACATAGAGTATTTAAATCTAAATTAAGTATACTATGAGTATATACATACTACGTAGTATATGTTAATAAAGAAATGAATGCGCGCATGATAATATAAGTAATCCACAACAAACCATTTAATAAGCATAAATACAATGCGATGGGGGATCGAGGTAGTTATTTGGGGTGTTGCTATTTTAGATTAGGTATTACAAATAGTTCATGACAATATCATGAGCGTAAGTTATCCTCTATTTAAAAGTTTCCTACATTTTTTGGATTATATTTAAAAGTTTCCTACACTTCAATTGTTTTTAGTAAGTATACACTTTATTATATACTTAATTATTTTTACTCTATCTATTTTTTATCTTCTCTTTCATGCTTTTACACACTCTCTCCTACTTTTTCTACATTATTTACTACCTTACTACTTTACTCAAATAATGTGTCCAACCTAATGTAGTGAACATTAAAATACGGAGGGAGTATCACGTAGTACTATATTTTTTAAATTATGCACATTAAATTTTATATTTTTATGCGCTTTTGTATTCTATATATAGAGGTTATATATATTTTGATAGGCTTTTGTCACAATTCTTTCATTTGAATTTTGTATAATTACTAAAATGTGATCATATTTAGGCACATAAATTTGATATCTTCCCAATTCTTCACATAGATGGCCATAATGAGTTTTTATTTTTCAACGGAAATCACTTTTTATTTGAAGAAAATTGTACTCGGTATATATTTTGTAATTTTGCACCATGATTTATTGATTTATTCACATTTTCTCTAATACGGAGTATGATTTAAATTGTTCACATGTTTTATTTTGACTGTCTTTTTATTTATTAATGTATTACACAGTAATAAATTACTTTTTTTTATAAAACATTATTAAATTTTTATATGTTTTGCAACTTTTTGCTAATAGAAAATTATATACATTAATGATCAAAATTTTATATCGACAAAATAAAAAGTGAATTATTGTATGTATTTAAAAACGAAGGTGATACGTCAAGTAACTTGTGATATGATGACATCAGTGAGACACTTAAAAATAGGAAATCTCAAGTTCCAATCCCATCAAATCAAGGATGTAGGCCTTAATATCGCACTTATACTATAATACAATATGTAAGAAGAATTGTAAAAAAAAGAAGGTAATACAATTGTGTCTATATTCGTTACTGAATACGGAGTATTTATAATTGAGCACTTGTGTCATAGCCTTATTCCCAAGTTTGCCATCGCATTTTTTCTTACTCGGAAGCCAATCTTCATTTTCCAGTTTTCCTTTATTCTTCCGGTAGGCTTTTTGTTCATAAACAAAGAAAATAACAACAAAATACAAATTTAATACATAAACCGAACCATCTCTGTCTTCAAAATTGCTCTTTCGTGATCGAAAATTTCATAGACAGGTTAGTTGCAGCAAATTTATTGACTCTCCACTACTGTAATTTCGACTTGTTCACGTTCAATTTCTGGAGATATATTATTTGATTTTCAATACATTTTGACTTGCGTTTGAAATTCATTTTCTGTTGTAGTTGATCTTCTATTTGATTTTTTGATCTCTGAAATTGAGCTGGTGTTTTGTGTTCATGGCCTGACGGTGTCATTAGTTGCTATTGTTTTAAATTGATATGTAACATGGTTTTCTGCTAGTTTTATTTTTGTTGTCAAAAAAGCTGTGAGTATTTGATCTTTTATTTAAGAAAACAAAAAAGATTTAGATTTTGGCTCTTATGTATATACAAATATGTATGTATGTATATGTTTGTATTTTCTTTATCTTTGCTGAAATGTAAGCTTTTCAAATACATGCATACACATATCCATACATATAATTAGTATTCAAATCTATTTGTTTTAGACGATTTTGATGTTCAGATCAGAATTATTTTGTATTTTTTGCCCTCTTTTCTCATATTGATCATTCAGTAGATAATTACTCAGATTGGTTCAAATTAGATCTGGTAAAGATACAGACCTATGTAGGTAGTATATAAAGTGCAAATCTATTTGTTAACTTTTTCATTTTTCTGGTCAACAAATATATGGATTATGATGTGTGCATTGGTTTGATTGAAAACAGCATGGTTTCTTCTAGTTAATGCGATAGTTTGAGTCAAGAACTGCGTTATGGACCCATGGTTAAGAGTTAACACTTAATATGATACGAGGACTAGTCCAAAGTCTCTGTAAGATGCGGAAGTTTTCTTCACACTCCCTTCACGGCCAGACAACTTGTCTCATACCCTGAAATTAGGTCTAACTTCTTCCAAAGGGATCCACAATACGTGGGATCCAAAATCTGACCAGGCTCTATAATACTATCGTATGTTAGAGTCCTATTCTAGAAGTTTAACCTAAATGTGAGTTTGCTATTTTATATTTAGTCAATGTGGTGAATTTCCTTCAACAATTATGTTGTCTTTTTTGTTGAGAATAAGGTTGGGCCTATCTTAATCCAGTACTGCTCTCAAGAGTTTAGGATTGAACACTCATGCACTCTTCTATTAATTATTAATTATTACTACGTGTTTATTTCTCTTCAATGACAGCTCTTGTTTCTGCATTTAGAACCAATATTGTGTGATGATGCGATACAAGAAGGGAAATTTGGTCGAAGTCTTAGATGAAAGCGAGCCACCCTCAGGATCTTGGCGTTGTGCAGAGATTGTTAGTGGGAATGGAGACGATTATATTGTCAGATACAGTACATGTGATACATCTGGAGCGCTCTTTAGATTGGCATCTAAAAAGTTAATTAGGCCTTGCCCGCCACTTGTAGAATTCTCAGAGAACTGGGTTCCCGGGGATGTGGTTGAGGTGTTTCTTAAATACACATGGAGAATGGCTAGAGTGACTAAGGTGATAGGGAAGAAGCAAGTTTTGGTCCGTTTGGTCGGGTCTCCAAATGAATTCAAGGTCAAGAAATGTAACATCCGCGTGAGGCAGTTGTGGGAGGACGGTCGGTGGGCCAGAGTTGGAAAGGTAGTATGATCATGTTAGACGTTCTGCACATTACATCATCATATTTATAAACTTCATATCTTCACCAATATTTCGTTGTGTGTACGTGCATTTCACGCTCAATTGTTTAGCATTTGTGATTACACCTTTTCTTTATCTGCAGAATTGCTTTTGTACACCTTTACCTTATAATTTTTCTTACTCAATATTGTGTTTTATGTAGTACTAATTTTGCTAAAGGGCACACATTAGCTTTTCTGAATATGAAAGATGATTTTTATCCATATTTAAGACATGATTAACACTATCTTCCAAAGATCAGAGTAGATCATACAGAGTAGTTTTTATTTATTTATTTATTTATAATTTTTTTCATTTAAATGTTTATCAAAGTTATGTATAGTTTGCCAAAGAGTTATCACTTAAAATTCACATAAAGTAATTAAAAAAGATTCCAAGTTCTTTACTTTTTAGTATTTCACTTAGTAGTTATAATCATTCTGGTCCCAAACTGAAAGTTTTCATCTTTCACATCCTAATGTTTAGGTAACCTATATTTTTATGGTCCTGATTTGATAAAACTCCCATCATTACTATCATTACAATAAAAATCATTAATATGATGATGATGATTATTATTATTACTATTATTAGTATTAGTATTATGTTTGCCACCAGCTCATTCCATTTTCTTGTCATGTTCATTTTCGGGCATGCAGGGTCCAACTCAGAAGTACACTAGGATCTCACAATTCCGATCTAGAGGAGCAATATCAAGAATTAATAAAGTCGATTTGAAATTCCAAAAACCATATACGGGAATTTCAAGAACATCAAATAGGGGACTACCACCATATTCGCATTCTTGGATAGAAGCCAATGTTGGAAAGGAAGGTAAAAATTCAAGTGAAACACATTTTACTGAATCGGATGGTGGCAGTAGTATCTGCAGCTCTGTTGGTAGTTGTAGCAGTACTTCTAGCAATCAATTGTCAATGGATCCTGCGTATGATGAATTGCAAAGCGTTGGTGAATCCGTCTCGGAGTTGGATCAAGAAATCCATAGGTTAGAGTTGTGTGCATATCGGGCGACTATGGAGGCATTGTTCGCTTCTGGCCCCTTGAGTTGGGAAAAGGAAACTTTGATTACAAACCTTCGCGTTTATCTCAACATATCAAATGATGAGCATTTGTTGGAGTTAAGGAATTTAATATCTCATAATGCTTCATCAAGCTTTTCCATTATTAGCTGACTGCATTTAACAGCTTTCTTCTTTTTCATCCCTCTGTAAGCTTTTTTTCTTGTAAAAAAGAAAAAAGAAGATTATTATTGAAATTGAGCTTGTTTCATCTATATTGAGTTAGCTATGTATCAACTTTTCATGCATAGTAAAATTGTTATTACTATTTGTACTTGTTACGAAGAGTCTCATATAGGGAAATATTTATATAAGGTATTTTTTTGGGATGCCAGATGCAAATAGGAAGGTTTAGTAATCCATGGTTAGATTGCTTTTAATGGCAAATATGCTTTAAATCTTTAATCAGCATGCATTTGAGCTATTATTAGTGATCCAAAAGTGGATTACTAAGTCTTCCTAAACACAGTCGTCAAGCCATATGTGTGTGCATGCAGTGTTTCCTAAAGTATTTGCTCAACTTTCACGGACAGGTTTGGGGCCTGTTTGGTAAGGGGTGTTTTGTTGAAATGGCTAAAATTTTCGAAAGGAAAAAGCATTTGGTGGTGTCCATTTCCGTCAAATGAGTAAGTCATAAACTACTTATTATGTTATGTGTGTAAGCAGTATAAGCATGATACAGCATTATTGAATGGAGCCTCATCATCTAGTGTGGCAGCATATTTTTACATAATAATATTGGTGCTTCCTATATATTTTCCAGACCCAGGGTTCATGGCCTGGTGGTGCTTGAGATTTTCCCTATATCTCTTGAATTCTTGATGTAGATGATTTGGGGATGTAAGCAGCATCAGGTTAATGTATGAAGTAAACACTTCGCTTGAACCTTTCTCGAGTTGGATTCATCTCAGTTCTATGGTATGTCATGTCTTGTAAATTCTGTAAGGGATGAACCCCAGCAGCATTTGAATCTATTTCCTCCCAAAGAGCAAAGGAGATTATCTCTTCCCCCACCCCACCTCACACCACTGTGCAGTAATTTACACATCTTTAGCAACGCTGATAGAAACAATCCAGGTATACAGTAAAATCACAGAAATTATCAAGAACAATCTGAGAAATTTTATTGAAGAACAAGAAGTACTGGCCGAAGCCCCCAATGAGCCGAAGCCCCCCAAAAGAAAGAGAAAGTTCTCAATCTTCCCAAGTCCCAAAATATGTCTCCACACCCCTCCCTCTACCAGCCCAGGCTTATTCTATTTATACTCAACTTGTACACTTATTATTATTAATACTCTATTGGGCCGGGTCCCTAACAAAAGTTTATGATAATTTTAGGCGTCTCAATTGAATATGTATAACAAGTTTTGCTAAAAACTATCACCAGCTGTCTCGCTATGGCATAATGGTATGATACTCGTTTGTTCACTCATGTTTTTTACTAATGTTTGTTTAGCATTTCTGATTGCATTTTCAGGTTGATTGATGATGGTTGCTGTGAACAGTACCAGTGCTGCTTCCTGCTAAATATGGTGGCTAATGTGCTACCCAATCTGTCTTACCTTTCATGATTTTACAGCTTGTCAAAAGTTGAATCCAGATTTTGGAGGGTGAAACACCCTTAGCCATGGGTTAGCTGAATTGACTGTAAAATAGTGATGAGGTTTATGTCAAAGTGAAAATACAAATTATAAGCTCATCCGGTAACACTAAAGTTGGCTGAACTTGTTGAACTTGTTGTCGAAATGGCTTAATTTTCTTAATTATGAAATAATATTAAAAATATATTTATTAATAAAAAAGAAAACTTAAAAAAAGAAAACACAAATGAAAGCGAATTAGAATGGGGGGGGGGGGGGGGGGGGGGGCACTTCACAAGGCTTCCCTGCGAGGTGAGGGTCTGGACAAGAATCCTACCACAAGGTGTATAGGGTGCACAAACTTTTAACAAGAGGCCGCAAAAAAAATTGAAACCGTGTGTAGCCTCCTGTCAAAGCTTAATCGGTGTGACATATCTTCCCTTCCTAAATGAAAGTTAAAATGACCTCAGTAAACCGGCCAGAAAAGTATCATCAATCTTACTTGTTTCGATCATCGTAGAATTAAGTGTGTGAAAGAAAATATTTCCCTTTTTTGAAGAAAAGGGATTTTGTTCATATGAGGGGAAGTAAAAGTACAATCGCAAATAAAATTGCATCCCTAGGAGAATGCAATAAATGAAAATGAAAGAGAGGTACAAGATTAAAATGAAAGCAAAAGATAAAAGAAGTAAGGAAAGAGGCGAGTTAAATAGAGCCTTAGTAGAGTCCTCAAGCTAAGGAAATCCCGTAGAAGATAGTTCCTACACCCGTTTAGCCTGTTGCCGAGTTTTCACAGTCCTAATCGAAGAGAGGTTGCTCTTTTTGTCCGTCCTGAAGACCACAAGAGTGAAACCACCGTCTTCTTGTTTAGGTTCAAAAGTGCATTCCTGTAAATGGGAGATTCTTTGTAGACAGAGTGACCATTTAGTGACTTGTGCTTTAGAATTTGATGTGGAGCTGAGTCACTCGGAAGCTCCTAAATTTATTTTCTTGTGAGACGTATGGTAGTTTAACGGTCCGCATGTTTTTCTTCTAGGTAATCTGCTGCAACATCAGACATAAAATATAGATCTACCCCATCATTATCAACAACATGCAAAAATTCTTTCAAATAAAATATTACCTTTGTTCCACCGGATATTGCCAAACTTGTGTTAGATGTGAAATAAGAAAAGTAAAAATTGTGTAGTTGAGAAGTTTGTGCATATGAGAGATAAATAGATAATCACAAACAAAATGACATTTATTGTGATAAACTAATAAGAAAAGTTGAAAAAAATCCAATAAAACTAGGGAAGTATAAGTGTTTGACAAAAAAGAAAAGTTGATAAAATCCAATAAGATAACATTTAGAAGTATTTGACATCTAGAGAGCTGATGAGTAAAAAAATGTATGGAGTATTATCAAAAAGCACTACTAAAATGCAAAGTACTTTTTGTTGTTTTATCATAATAGAACGGCTTTTATATTAAAAACCGGAACACATACAAGATAACCTTTTGAAAGATTTTACAGATCCGATTGTGAACCATAAGAGTAGACTTAGAGCCAGCTATCTCATACAAAACAATCTGACTCGCTAAACCTGAAATGGACAAATTTAAGCCTAAAACGATTGGAACCGAAACCCTGCCTATCAAAAGAACTCTAATCGCACATAAAAATACAACCAAAACAACATGCAGTTCGAAATAAAAACACAAACAAAATAAAACGGAATTAAAATAGAGTTCACTCGTTTTCTTCCAAACCCTAGATTTTCCAGCACTCCATGCATGGTCGTGGTTCAGGAGGGGGACGAGCCAACAGTAGTGTAACTTCTTCCTCACCATGCCTCTTATTCATCATGTTCTCTGCCAAGCCTCCTCACTTTTGTCATGAATCACAAATGACTTTCACTGGATGATGTCATCCTCTCGCTATTGCTGTCTCTACTTCTTGTTCGCACCAAAAAACTTGTCGCGGGGGTAAACTTCAAACCGAAATAGATCGAAATAGATCACCGAAGAAGCTAAAATTCTAACTAGAGGGAGAAACGTCTGCTTGAAACATTTACAAATGTAAAATACTTTTTATGATAACATTAATAATAATTATTGTTATTATTATTGATTTTGCTTTCCTAACATGTTTTATTGATTACTATTAAAAAAGATTGGTGGTCATTCGAGTTAAATATGTTTTCATTCGTAAATTTTTACTACCTTCATACTATATTGCATGTATTGATTTAGTTTGACGCGATTATCAATAAAGTGATCGAAAAGTAAAAAATATTGTTGAAATTTGAATAGAATAATGTGAATTGATATAAACCACATAGTTATTGCAAATAGATATCAAGACATTAATATTGAGATAATTAAAAAAAGGAGAGTGAGACTAGTAAAACTGGTCTAAAGTCGGAAGGGGTTGTAATTTATTTTAGACTGGATGTATTTTCTTATATTTTTCATTTGGGTTTAATGCATCAAACCTGCTCGTGAAATATAAATTATGCACATTAGCCCTTTGCGATTTAAAAAATGCATCAAACCACACTGTGATATGGTTATTCATGTGCACAACCCCTACGATGGACAAATTTTACAATTTTGAAATTACTTTTCTTAATAAAATGATTGAATATGCAAGTAACTTTGTCAAAAATCTCTAAATTGTACAAAAAACCAACAATTTTTCATTTTTTGGCAAGTAACTATGTTATGAATAACCATAACACAGAGGAATTTGACGCATTTTTTAAATCATGAGGGCTAATGCGCTGAATTTATATTTCACGAGGTTTATTGCATTAAACACTTTTTCATTCCTATAAAATAGGGAGAATTTGACTTTGCACTCCACTTTTTGTGTGATATTGGACTTTGCATAACATTTTGAAAAAACTTTGATTTTGCACCCTAACACATAACATTTTGTGAAGAAAAATTTCTCAATGAGGTGAAAAGTCAAATGATTTTTAAGTGAAATGTGGTGTAAAGTCATTTTTTTAAAATGGGTTAAAAGTCCAATATTACAAAAAAAATGAGGTGCAAAGGCAAAATATCCCTATAATATATATACTACTTATATTATATTATGTACATAGTATTTTTGTAGTCCCTCTCTAACTCTGAAATAATATTCATTTATAAAAATCTTAGTGTTGGTTGTACAACTCTACTACAAAATCTTAAAGAGTAAATTCCCTGAAAGGGAGTAAAATATACATAGTAAGATATTTCAAAGTAGGATTTCCATTTAAAATTAAGTTCCATGGATCTTAAAATCACCTACTCTTCGGGGATCAATAAAAAATTATTTCTTTGTTGAAAAAAATAATGATAGAACTGTTAAACTGAAAATAAAGGTTACGAGTAGGGGTGGGCAAATGGGTCCGAAACCGCAGTCCGGTCCGGGTAATGGCGGTTCGGGTCCAAAACGGGCCGGTTTCATTTTTTTGTTGCCATAAAACGGTCCGGGTAGGGCCGGGTAATTTTTTTTAAAGATCCGGGGCGGTTCCAAAAAAAAAAATACCGGGTACCCGGCCCGGCCCATTATATATATATATATATATATATATATATATATATATATATATATATATATATATATATAATACTAATTTGTTAATAGTTTTGTGATAATCGGTTTTGAAATAGTTTGTTTTCCTTTGCTAGAAGTATGATTTTAAATTGAATTACAGTAACGTCATTTTGTTTTTAAATTACTGATTAAATTTTACATAAATTTTTTATTACTTCTTATTGTTATTAAATTATTCCTTTCTATGGAATTTAATTATTTGTTAAAAATGATTTTGTAATATTTGTTTTTATAATATTGTTCTTAAAATATATAAATTGTGTTTACCACCCCATGTATGTGTCAACTTTGGCTAATACTGAAAATTTAATAAAAAACAATCACCTTAATATGTGATGTTAGACAACATGTTTAAATTCAAATGTTAGAAAATATGTATTATGGCTACGTTGGTGATTTTTGGAATTTCTTTAATTGTTTGGAACTTATACATGAAATTATGGAGTATTGGACTTCTCACTTGTGTTACATTTGCAACCACTATGTTGTTATTTTGAAATTTGAGAAACTTGGTAATGTACTACTACGTGAGTTTTTATTGATTATTGACTTTTGGAACTTCGTGAGTTTTTCCTAATTTTAAGACATGATAATAGAAACCGTAAAACCCGGACCGGACTGACCCGTTTCAAACGGGCCGGGTAAGGTCCGGTTCCTATTCTGAAAATTGCAATACTCGAATCAGATCAGACCATACAATAGAACCAGCGGTTCCATATTATTTCGCATTACCCGCCCCGACCCGGCCCTAGTTACGAGAGTAACTGTTGGAAAAATGTGTGAAAAATTGCATTAAATGGCTATTTTGGGGCAATTTTTTGAGTGGGGTCCACTTCCGATTTGGGTCGGGTCAAAGTGGTTTCGGATTGTCCTTGTTAAGGGCTACAATTCGATATATGGTACGCTCAAAACGGATAACGGGTGAATGAGAAATCGCTTTTCGAAGTTTACCCGTTAGAATGGAAAAACTGGGAAAAAGGATGGGTTTCTAGTGTTAATTTCCCACACCGGAAAACCCAAGGGATTTGCAACCCTTTATAAAGGAACTCCCCCCTTATGGAGTTAAGATTCCTAAGGGTAAAGGCTCTCTCCACGCGCGCAGGGGGGGGGGGGGTGCAAATCAAATCCTGAATTCGGAGAAGAAAAACCGCGACCTGCGGACACGAATGTCATCCAAAAATTCATCTCTCAAGAGATACGGGTAATTTTTGTTTTCTTCCCGAAACGTATAATTTTTTCCCAAGTTGACAGAATTGCTCCGGGCAGAAGGCCACGATCAGAGGTGCTCCAGTTCTGATGACCTTCGGGGGGCAGAGTTGCTCCGGTTCTGATGGCCTTCGGGCAGAGATGCTCCGGTTCTGATGACCGCGCATCAGAACTGCTCCAGTTCTGATGGCCTTCGGGCAGAACTACGTAGGGGTCTTCTGTCGCGCTTCTGAACCATTACAACAATAAATGCCCAACGTTTATATCTTTTAATGCAGTGTTAAATGGACAGTTCATGGACAATTCAATGCCCAACGGACTGGTCATTGATGTCCAACGTTCTGGTCCATTAATTCACTATTTTCATACAACAAATCCTCCTATATAAAGGCTGGCAGGTGGTTTGCAACAACACACGTTCTTACACGCATTCTTGCACTCCATACACGTTTTAGCTCTAAAAACACACTGCTAGCACTCTGAAAATTCCTTCTGTGTTCAGTCTTTGTTCTCGTTCGTTGGAACTCTTGTTTGTGTGCTCAAACATTAGTTCGTTGTCATCGTATCCTGGGAAACTATTGTTGCAACGCTCCTAGCACCGTGGGAGGCAACAAATACGTTTTAAGGACATCGTGCGTAGCACGAGCTTTGACAAATTTCTATTCCATCTCATTTCTGTTTTCTTTTGTCATTTTATTTAATTAATTTCTTTTAATTAATTTTCTTTATTTTCCGAAACACACCCAACAAACTAGTACGGAGTAATTCTTAAAGCAACAGTACATAAATGTAAAGCAGAGCAAGTAGTTAACAGCCCAAACAGCTAAATAAGTTTGGGAGATTCTAAGGGAGTGTTTGCAACTACTTCTGCTTAAAAAAAGCACTTTTGGAGATGTAAGGAAAAAGTGATTAGTAGGAAAAGTTGATTAGTAGGATAGTGTTTGAGAAAAAGGGATTTTGAAAATTAAAAGTTGATAGTGTTTGGTAAAATAAGTGCTTTTTGTGTAATAGAAAGGGGAAAAGCACTTTTTACACGCAAGCCGAGAAAAAGTAAAAATTGGTATTGTTTGGTAAAAAAGTGCTTTTTTAAGCCAAAAACTGAGAAATGCTTTTTTTTAAGTGATTGCAAACACTCCCTACAGCCGTTTTTTTACTAACCATAGCCCTTTTATACTATATTTACAAATTAACCCTTAGGGAAACTCTTTCATTTTCTCTCAGCTTTGAGAGTCTAATTGCCGCAGCTTGGCTGCTCGGCTCTGAAGAACCAGATATAACCTTTTGACTGTTCATTGACAAAAAAAAGGTCGGAGGTATGGTGATGAGAGCTAAATTGGATTTTCATCTATTGAGATATAAATTTGGCAAATTGAATTTTTGATCGGTTTAGAGTGGAATTACTTCACTAAAATGGAATAGAAGGGGTTGGGCTGTGGACGGATTTGCAGGTTCTGGATGTGAGCTACAAGGGTGGGCGGTTGCCGGAATCGATGTCTTGCCTGACGCAGATGGAAGATTTGGTTTGTTCGTGAGGAGGCTGGTGAATTTGAGTCAAGGATGCAAGCAACTGGTTTCCTCCTGGAAGGAAGATGCAAAGGCCCTAACCAGATTGTTCCTTCATCCATGGAGGCAGATTGAGTTGTCTTAGAATCCCCTATGTGGTGAAGCCGTTGGTCAGTGGAATATTATTCGAAGTACACCACTGGTTCTTTACTTCTTTCTCTGGTGGTATTTTCTTACACCACTCAGAGGGTAAAAAATAAAAAATAAAAAATAAAAAAATCGGTGGGCGTAACTCAACTGGTAGCGAGGGAGTGCCACAAGGGCTAGGTCCCGGGTTCGAATCCCAGCAACTGCGATGAGAGGTTACTAAAATGCATAGGGCCTCTGCAAGTACCGGGGACGGAGCCCCACTCTCTATCTGTCAGATTTTGATTATAGTCCAATTTACATTCTCCCATCATGTCGTCCGGTCAGTGTTGAGGGGCCCTCAGGGTTGGGGTGTCATCCTTTTTTTCTTTCTCTGGTGGCCAAGTTTTGTCTAGGAGCGTGAGGTTGGCGTGAATAGCAATTGGCGTGAGGATAGAGTAGGTATTAGTTTTGATTAGAGGCTATGAATAGCAATTGTGTGGCTACATTTAGAACTACCCATAAGTTATGTGCGATGCATTTTTCTTCTTCTTAATCTCAGGCTTTTCGGCCTATTTGAATGCACCAATCGCCCTCAATATTTTAATGGAACCAAAACTTCATTTATGTTTTTCTTTTGAACACCAACTAGTACAGTATCCGTGCATCCACACGGGAAATAGTATTCGGTGCATATATTTGTACTCATGATATAATTAAATATTAAAAAAAAAATAACTTTTTATGATTCTACATTTTAGAGAGACAAAAGAGTACAATCAGATAATATCATAAATTATAAGTCAGACAATAAATATTTAATGAAGAATATATTAGGGAGAATTAATACACACCACTCATTAGAATTTGCTATATATTAATTTTCATGATTAAATAAATTTAAAAATTAAATACAATTCTAAAAAAGTAAGTAAAATAAGTGAACGACATAAAATTTAAATGAATACAAAAAATATTAATATTAAAGAATATTAATTAGTTAAATAAGAATTAAACTTACTAATCATTAGTTAAAAGAAATAATTATCCCATGTATGACTAAAACTTCCCCACTTTCCCAATCTATGACCTAACTTGTTTTTTTCCCAAAATATAATTTAAATCTATAATATTTAATTAATTTTGTAATTAGTAATTAAATAATTAATTTTTACGGACTAATTTACCCTTAGGTTAAGCCTATAAAACCCTAACCTCCTACTATTTTACTCCAACCCTAGCCTCTAGCTTCCGACTACTCAAGCACACCCGACTGCCGCCGCCACCTAGCCGCCGCCTACCTCTGCCGCCCAGCCGCCACCTACCTCTGCTGCCCGCCACCGCCCAACCGATGCCGTACCTCCGCCTGCTCATCACCTTCGTCCAACTGCACAATCGTGTGCTCTCCTCCTTCGTACGTCCAACCCGCACTCGCCGCCGCCGAGCCTGCCCTGGCCACCGCTGTCCCGCCACACAGTTGCCTCGTGCCTCAGTCAACCAGCGTGCTTGATCTCTTGCCGTTTGAGATTAAGGTTTGTGGGGTTCTTCTATTTAATGACATTAGGGTTAATAATTAATTTTGCCAAAGAATGGCGACGGACTGCCGCTCCAACAACTCAGATTCTTCAGCAAGGCGGACGAGGTTGAAGGCGAACCCAAGATTGAAGAAGAATCCTAGGTTAAAGACGATTGAAGACAGTGTGCAGTGAATGTCACAAGAAGTGCAATGATTATGACAAAGAAGTGCAATGATTATGACAAAGAAGTACAATGATATGACCATATATAAAGTGATTTTGACAAAAAGTGCAATAATGTAGAACATTAACATTGATATAAACTGCATTTATCAAATCTTAAAAAATTATAAATGCTAACATTTTTGTAATGTTGTCATAACTCTCGCATGTAGTGCATTAGATTTAATTAAACATAAAAACTAAAATTATCAAAACTAAAAAAAGGACAAACTGAAGTGCCATAACTTAAGTGCATGAAGTGCATTATATGTCGTGTAGTGAATGCCGTCATAAAGTGCAGTAAATGTTGTGCTATAACGCGTTCATAAAGTGCAATATTTTTACACGGCTGAAATTAGTGCAAAATGCATCTTTTTTAAATAAGGGCATTTTCGACCTTCCACATTATAATATGACAAAATTTTCTTTTGTTTTTTCGATTTTTAGTCATATTTCGGGAAAAAAACATAGCTAGTCATATTTCGGGAAACTCAATATGTTTTAGTCATATTTTGAGAATTTTTCTTAGTTAAAATAGTAGTCTTTGTTGAACTTTTTGGCAGTCTTTTAATATTGTTTGCACTTGATTCTCAAATGCTATTACTATTTACTTTTAAATCTAAGATGCTTAAAATGCACTTGCATTGGTTTAGGTTTGAAAAAATGAGGAGAATTACATATGATAAACAAAATTATCCCACTCAATAGTTAGCAAAATTATCTTCTAATACCTAAAAACACTACATGTGAGATAGAAAATTATTCTACTCAATTGTTAGCACACTTATATTCTAATACCTCACTGTCTTACATATGATAGAGAAATTTCTCTCACTCAATTATTAGCAAGCTTATCTTCTTATATATGTTAAACCACTACATATGAGAGAGAAAATTATCTCGCTCAATTGTTAGCTGGCTCATCTTATACTTAAAAACACTACATATAAGAAAGAAAGTTATTGCGCTCCATTGTTAGCAAGCTTATCTTCTTTTATATTATAATAATAATTCATAAAAACACTACATATGACTATATGAGTAAAAAAATTATCCCGCTCAATACCTCTGCTCAATTGTTGGCGAATTTATCTTCTTCTAATATCTAAAAACACTACATATGATAACAGAATTTCCCCCCGCTCAATTATTAGCAAGTATATCTTCTTATCCACAAAACCATCACATATGGGGGGGGGGGGGGATTTTCCCGCTCAATTGTTATACGGTTTATCTTATGCAGTTATTATTATACCTAAAAGCACTACATATGAGATAAAATACTTTCTCGCTCAATTCTTAACGAACTTATCTTATCTTATACATAAAGAACTACGTATAAAGAGAAAGTTTTTCCGCTCAATTGTAAGCAAGCTTATCTCCTAATAAAAATGAAAAAGTTATACCACTTTTTCAAGAAAAAGGTTTTTTTTCTTTGTTTTTTTTATAACATGGACCCATGTAATTGGTATAGTAAGGAGAAGATAATAAACATGGATGGAGAGAGAGCCGCTTTTGTGTTGTACTTGAGCAACACCATTTTTCTTTGTGAGCAGTAAAGGCTTAAAATAAAGAAGCCACATCAGTAAGGTTGAAATAGAGGAGAAAAAATTGGATAGAGAGACATACATGTGAGTTTCATTAAGGGTAGAATAGTTTTTTAATGAGCTGTCTATTTTTCATAAATATATTATTAATTTTTGATATATATTTTATAGAAATTAGATCAAGAATGAAAAAGTTATAACACTTTGAAGAAATTGGAAATTTTTGTACCTTGGGCCCCATCAATTGTACGTCTCTTTATATTTTACTGCTCATGCCCCGCATAACTCTCATTGATCAGCTTCATCACACCATGTCATATTTTAAAACCACTGGTCTATTTTTGTCACGCCCCGGACCTCCCCGGACACGTCAACAACCCGCCGTACAATACGAATGGTCAACCGCAGTCCAACACATTCATATTATACAAGGCGTCTCGAATATCATTCACACGTAAGCCATCCATAAACAACATAATAAGCAATCGGATACGTCGGAAAACATAGTTTGAAAACAAATGCCACACGTGGCAAACATGAGCACGCAGGCTCTATAGTAAAATATTCATGAGCATGTTTATTAATGTTTAAAAACAGAATGGAGGAAGCACGAACCAAGTCTTCCCTCCTATATGATCTCTCGAGCAACGAGCACAGGAAGCAAGCTCTAGCCTCAACCTGAAAAATGGTGGTGGGACGCCCCCGAAGGGGTCAGCACTCTATAGGGCTATAAAGTGCTGGTGTGGCAGACATCTAATAGATATACAACAAGTATTTCACACACAAGACCCTCAAATAGGGTGATAATATAGTATAGGCCGTAATCTCAAATTACCCCTTTCAAAATATATACTTACTTTATATAAAGTCAAGTAGCCGGCTCAAAGGCCCATGTTTGTTATAAAACATTTTCCAAAACCCCGTGACTAATGGTCACGACATACGTAGGGTCCAACCCTAATACAACTTCTTATTTCTAGAGTTAGGCTCGAGTACATCATCATGCACTCGCATCATAGATCTCCTACTTCATGTAATCATATCATAGATCTCCTACTTCATGTATTCACCCCATAGATCTCCTACTTCATACAATCACACCATAGATCTCCTACTTCATACAATCACACCATAGATCACTTACTCTATGAAATCACAATTGACACTTGAATCTTATTCAAGTTCATCACAAACAAACTCAACCTTTAAGTTTGATTCTATCAACATTTAGAACAATCCTTAACTAGCATCACAATACTATTAAGATTATTCCTACAACTCATTTATCATTAATGGTAGCCCCTCCATATCAATAGATATGTGGCAGCCTCCCATGTGCTAAGCATCATCATGCAATTATACATTTACATACACATAACATTCATACATGAGTTGGAAGATCAATTTACCATATTAGCATACTTTTATCTCACATGACTCCATATTCATCAATGTGGTTTCAATTCATGATCAAGTCCATTACTTATCATTCATATCATGTTCAAGCATATTTATTCACAAAAACATGATTTAAGCATTTAGGCAATCTCATGCATAACCTACAAGTTGTAAGCAACTAGATGTCGGTCCTCACCTCAAATGAGCTTTAAAACCTTCCTTCTCGATCCAATGACCAAAGCCTCGGCCAAGGAAGATTGAGAACTGGTTCCTTTCTTGAAAATGGGTGTTAAACAGCTTCCTCAAGTTGCTATTTCAACCCCTAATCGTTGATACGAAAACAGCCCCTAGAACGGGTGTTTTCCGGCTAACTCGATTCCTAGTTTTCCATTATTTGCTCTAGGTTAGTATCTAACCTTTACATCAATAAAATAACTTTTCAAGGACATATTATACACTTGGATTAGTGTACAATAGTCCCACCAATCGTTCATATCATTTGGAAAATGAATGGAAAGGATTTGGGGTTAACAACTCACTTTAGAAGAGTAAATCCGTTTCTGCGAGGTTGTGTTTTGCTCGGACGATTTGGAAGCCTTCCTCTACTCCGATTGATGCAAACCAGACCTTCCCGGATTCCTAGTCTTGAGCGCTTTCTTTTGGTATCTCACACGCCTTAATTGGATTGGTAAAACTCGAGATATCAACCAAACAGTCTCAGCACTCTCACAGCTCGAGTTCACAGACCATCACTCCCTCCAGCTCGATTTTTGTAAGATAAGCTCTCTCTCCTCGAACAAAGACCACTCAATTATGAAACTACACTTCAAGGGCTATCCAAGGAAACCTCATACACGTTATTTGGTTGAGGATAGCTCCTATAATGAGAGGAGACAAACAGCACACCAATTTGTGCGAAAATAAGAGTGGTGGCCCAAACTTTGATTCTTATCAAGTCATGTGCAGCTCTTCTCCATAATGGCCGGCCAAGGTAAGTCTCCTAACCCATTTTTATTTGTCTTGCAGGTACTAATATCATGTGGAGTGGTTCCCAATTGATCCCAATCATTTTGGGGATCCAAATTATCTACCAATACTTCCAAAAATGGGGAAAATGGGTCCTATTGTTTTATCTTTGTCAAAAGATGTCTTTTTGTACTCATCCTAATTTATTTAGAACAAGTCAACTTCTTAAATCACATTATTGATCTCCAATATGTGTAGGCTCATCCCAATAATTTACTTGATGGATATTATGGAAGGAAAATCCTACTCCCATTATTTAGCTCAATAAGGCCAAAGGTGGGGTTATAGGCATTTGTATTCTTCCTTAATCATTCAATCACTTATTTTACATTTGTCATACGTATCATTGGTCTACTAGCCGTGTGGGTCACTCCCGAGTGGGTTTAGAACGCCATTCTCGAATACTTGCTATTTTTAGCAGGTTGGGCCCAAAATAATGTTTGGGCCGCCCGACCTTCCTCAAATTGTCTTGAAAGATTATGTATCACTATTTGGATAATGTTGGGCTCTTTTATTTATTAATAAGTCCCGAATAAGTATTTGCAAAACCCGACACTAATGTACGAGTTTGAACAATACGATATTCAACCATGCACTACGTAGAACATTAATCGTTTTACAATTGTTGGGAGATCGGAAATTCAATACATAAATTTGAATTTAAGTTGAATTTTCAAGGACGTTCGGGTGCGGTGTCACAAGTTCACCCCCCCCCCCCCCCTTAACAGGAATTTCGTCCCCGAAATTCACAGCTCTACTCGAATAGGAAAGCATACTGCTTCCTCATCAAAGCCTCTGTTTCCCATGTCTCTTGTTCGACCCGATCGCTCTTCCAAAGTACTTTAACCATTGGGACTTCTTTGCTCCTCAGTTTCTTCACCTTTCTATCGGTGACCTTGATTGGTTGTACATCGTAGTTCAAATCCTCACGTACCTCTACAGGCGGCTTTTCCAATACGTGGGAGGGATCGTGTACATACTTCTTAAGCATGGATACATGAAACACATTATGTATCTTCTCTAATTCAGGAGTCAACTGTAGACGATATGCAACGGCCCCAATCCTCTCTATAATTCTGAATGGACCTATGTATCGTGGGTTAAGCTTCCCTCGGGTTTGGAATCGAATGATTCCTTTCCAAGGAGAAACTTTCAAGAATACCTCGTTATCAACCTTAAACTCTAAGGTTCTTCGACGCTTATCCGCATAACTCTTTTGTCTATCCTGAGCCGCTTTGAGTCTCTCTCGAATCAACTTCACCTTTGACTTGGTGATCTCAACCAACTCAGTACCCTCGAGTTTGGCCATGCCAACCTCGTCCCAGCATAACGGTGTACGACACCTCCTCCCATATAATGCTTCATATTGAGGCATGCCGATACTTGCCTGATAACTGTTGTTATAGGCAAACTCCACGAGTGCTAAGTGGTTGTCCCAACTTCCTTGGAACTCTAACGCACAAGCCCTCAGCATATCCTCTAAGATCTGTATAACCCTTTCAGACTGCCCATCCGTCTGTGGATGGAATGCAGTACTGAACTTCAACCTCGTTCCCATAGACTCTTGAAATTTTGGCCAAAAACGTGATGTGAATCGTGGGTCTCTATCCGATACAATGGTCACTGGGACCCCATGCAGCCTCACGATCTCATCCGTATACAATTTGGCTAACCTCTCAAGTGGGTAGGTAGTGTTGATAGGCAAGAAGTGTGCACTCTTTGTGAGCCTATCCACAACAACCCAAACTGCATCGTAGTTCCGAATTGTCCGTGGTAAACCTACCACGAAATCCATAGTCACATGTTCCCACTTCCACTCAGGAATGGAAAGTGGTTGTAACAAGCCTGCTGGATGCTGATGTTCTGCCTTAACTTGTTGACAAGTAAGGCATCGACTGATGTACTCGGCTATTTCCCTCTTCATTCCAGACCACCAGTAACTTTCTTTCAAATCACGGTACATTTTCGTGCCCCCGGGTGCATGGCATAAGCCGATGAATGAGCCTCCTCTAAGATGGACTTTCGGAGCTCATCATCTGACGGCACACACACTCGGTCACGAAATAACAAGAGACCATCATCTCTTTCCCTGAAATCCTCCACCGGTCCCGCTTGCATGCGTTCCCGGACCTTCATAAGTTCTGCGTCAGTCTCTTGACCCTTCTTGATCTCATCAAGTAAGGTCGGTCTCACTTCGAATCGTGCCAATAAGGCACCGTCGTTAGATACATCCAATTGGGCCCTCAGTGCCCTCAAACTAGTCAACAATGCCCCAGACGAACTCTTCCGACTAAGGGCATCTGCTACAACGTTTGCCTTGCCTGGATGGTACTCAATAACTAGATGGTAGTCCTTTATCAACTCCATCCACCGTCTTTGTCTCATGTTTAACTCTTTCTGAGTAAACACGTACTTCAAGCTCTTATGATCAGTATATATGTGACATGTCTCTCCGTAGAGATAATGTCTCCAAATCTTCAGTGCAAACACTACTGCTCCCAGCTCCAGATCATGGGTAGGATAATTTACCTCATGCTTCTTCAACTGTCGTGAAGCATAGGCAATTACCCTCCCCTCCTGCATCAACACACACCCAAACCCTTGGATGCTCGCATCACTATAGACATCGTACCCCATGCCCTGTTTGGGTAATGCAAGTACCGGTGCCTCGGTCAACCTCTTCTTCAGTTCGATGGATCCTTTCTCACATTTGTCATCCCATATAAACTTAGCTCCCTTTCGAGTGAGCTTCGTCAACGGCGACGCCAAAACGGAGAACTTCTCCACGAACTTTCTGTAGTAGCCTGCCAACCCAAGGAAACTACGAATTTCCTTGACGTTCTTTGGCCTCTCCCATTCGGTAATGGCTTCTATCTTCTTGCTATCAACGGCAATTCCCGATCCCGAAACTACATGCCCGAGAAAGCCAATTTCCTTTAGCCAAAATTCACATTTAGAGAATTTGGCATAGAGTTGCTTCTCCCGTAGTGTCTCGAGGACAAGTATCAAGTGCTCCTCGTGCTCTTCTTCACTCCTTGAGTAAATCAAGATGTCATCTATGAACACAATCACGAATCGGTCCAAGTATTTATGAAATACTCGGTTCATCAAATCCATGAATGCCGCTGGGGCGTTTGTTAACCCAAACGACATAACAAAGAATTCAAAATGCCCATACCTTGTGCGGAAAGCACTTTTTGGTATGTCATCTTCCTTAATCTTCAATTGATGGTAACCCGACCTCAAATCAATCTTTGAAAACACGGTTGCCCCTCGTAGTTGATCAAACAAGTCATCAATTCTAGGCAAAGGATACCTATTCTTGATTGTGACCTTGTTCAGTTGACGATAGTCAATACACATTCGAAGTGTCCCATCTTTCTTTTTCACAAAAAGAACTGGTGCTCCCCACGGGGAGTGGCTTGGTCTAATGAAACCATTATCCAAAAGCTCTTGCAATTGGGTTTTCAACTCGTTAAGTTCGGCGGGTGCCATACGGTATGGCGGTATGAAGATTGGTTTGGTACCAGGCTCGACCTCGATCACAAATTCAATCTCTCTATCAGGTGGAAGCCCCGGTAGGTCTTTAGGGAAGACATCCGGATACTTACAAACCACCCTCACATCATCGATGTTCGTTTCCTCTTTGGTTTTGTCAACCACGTATGCTAGATATGCGTGGCATCCCTTTCTCATCATACTTCTCGCTCTCACGGCGGATATGATACAGCTATTTGATCTCCCTCGATCGCCCTCGAAGCGTAGGGTCTCCCCATCATTGCCTTCGAGTTCAAGAACCTTCGTGTAGCAATCTACCCTAGCATGGTTCCTTTCTAGCCAATCCATCCCTAGGATTGCATCGAATTCAATCATGCTCAGCGGTACGAAGTCACACGTCAAGGTTTGACCATTAACCTCCACCCCACAAGATGGATAGTAACGAGTTCTTTCCACGTCATCCCCTAGTGGTGTTGATACCACTAAGGTTTGCATCAATGGTGCGGATTGCACTTCCAATCTCTTGGCGAACGCTTCATTCACAAATGAACGTTGCGCCCCGGTATCGATAAGGATTCGCGCATCCTTCCCATTAATCTTTAGTGTCCCTACATTCATGAACCATGTAAGACATCTTTCCTACCCTCCCTACTCATTTATAGAAGGTTACAATGTTCACACGCACGTTAGGGATCAAGAAAAGGTCTTAACGTCGCAAAACGGTGCGAGAAAATCGCACTTCGGCAATCTGGGTGCCAGGCACGGCGTGCCTGGGGTAGGCACGATCGTGCCTGGCTTGGGAAAAAGCCCAGGACGCCACTGCCTTGGAGACACGATCGTGCCTGCCTTAGGCACGATCGTGCCTGGGTCGGGAAACTTCACTGGCAGACACTGCCTTGCAGGCATGATCGTGCGTGCCTTAGGCACGACCGTGCCTGGGTCGGGGAAATGCTCAGGTACCTACTGCCTTGTAGGCACGATCGTGCCTACCCTAGGCACGACCGTGCCTGGGCGAAAACAGCCCGAAATGGTCCGAAATCTTCCCGGTTCGACCCTAAAGCTTCGTGCATTGATCCTAACAATTAGTAACCTCAATTTATGGACTAATTAAGGATAAAACACTAGTATACGAGAGGCAATACCTGCAACGGAATCCGGGTTAGCTTGAGCATCCGCCTCCGTCATTGCGTAGACCCTAGCCTGGGTCCTTCCTTGTTTCACAGATGGCGCGTTACTCGCGCTTGCTCCCCCTTGCCCCCTGGTTACCTGGGAACCCACGGCTTGGTTTCTTGTTCCCGTAGCCCCGCTACCTGGTCCCGATGACCTTAGCCCACCCAATTGTGGGCAATGCGCCTTCAAATGCCCGGTGTTCCCGCATTGGAAGCATCTAGGAGGTTCACGGCATTTTCCAAGGTGACTCTTCTTGCAATTCAAGCAACGAGGCGTCCCCGAGGCTTGTGACCCCGAGTCATGCCTGCTCGAGCCCTGGTTCCCCCTAGATGGTAGCGGCGGTGCACGGAAAGATCCCCCTCCATGGTTCCCCTTTTTGTTGGAACCTTGGGAGCCGTGACTCTCTCATTTTCTCTTCTTCGCCTCTTCGGCATTCTTCATCTTTCTTTCTTCCCATTCCTTCTCCCCTTTCAATCCCTGCTCGACCACCTGGCTAAAGGTCATGTTAGGCAACTGCGTTGCCCTCTCACGCACCTCCAAGTCTAAGGCATCCCAGAAGTGATTTACCATCCGGTTCTCATCACAGACATACTCCGGTATGAACTCCGCGAGTTCCCTGAATTTGTGTTCAAGTTGCCTCACCGTCATCTTGCCACCTTGGGTTAGGAGGGCATACTCTCTCCTCTTATTGTTCACCTCAAAATCAGAATAGTACTGGGCAAAGAACTCCTGCCGGAAATTCTCCCAAGTCACAACATTGCCATACTTCCCCTTGGCTCCGTCCCACCATGTGGATGCCATCCCTTCAAGCAATCTTACCGCCACCCTTAGCTTGAATTCGGGGGTGAGTTGCATATCAAGGGCTGCTTCGTTCAACCTCTTGATCCATTCCGCGGCGACCGAGATGTCACCTGCTCCATTGAAGGGTTTGCACCCCAAGTCCCGTGCCTCTTTGAGGTATTTGGAGATCCTTATGATCGGACCTCCATCACCCCGGCCCCCATGTGGTTCAATGTGGGCCCTAGAGTCGCCATGGCTTCTTCCTCTTGAAGCCCCACCCGAAGTTCGCCCTCCTCGGCGCCTTCGGCGTTCCCTCCTTTCCTCGCGCTCCCGCTGATATTGCTGGAGCAGCGCCTCAATTCTTGCTAGGGAGTCATTCTCCCCTTCTTCATCACTCACATCATCGTCATCCCCTTCGTAAGGGGTCTCAACCGGCTCGGTTTCCGGTTGGTAAGTCGAGTCCTCATAGGACCAGTAGGTTTCACTTTCTGTGTCGACATGACCGTCACTCACAGTCTGTGATCGGCCTCCACGGCCAGCTCCTCTAGATGCCCTAGAGGTCCTTCGACTGCCCTGTCCAGTCTCCACTGGTACACGGCCGGTCGGGTTCCTCCGAGTAATCCTGCCACCACGGTCCATTTCTGAAAGAAATTTGGAAAGAGTCGTTAGACTCGTATCAAATGTCAATTGACGGATAGGTACTTAAGACACATTTTGGCTCGAGTCACCGCCATACCAATTGCTAAGGGTACCATCTTAACAATTAGAGACCTTGCAACCCAAGTACCAAAAGCTCTCCAAAGTACAAAACTTCTATGCTCATGGTTTTCAAAATCTTTTCAAAAAGGGAATTTGGAGACTTCATTATGAAGTTTATGGACTAAGGCTCTGATACCAACTTAATTGTCACGCCCCGGACCTCCCCGGACACGTCAACAACCCGCCGTACAATACGAATGGTCAACCGCAGTCCAACACATTCATATTATACAAGGCGTCTCGAATATCATTCACACGTAAGCCATCCATAAACAACATAATAAGCAATCGGATACGTCGGAAAACATAGTTTGAAAACAAATGCCACACGTGGCAAACATGAGCACGCAGGCTCTATAGTAAAATATTCATGAGCATGTTTATTAATGTTTAAAAACAGAATGGAGGAAGCACGAACCAAGTCTTCCCTCCTATATGATCTCTCGAGCAACGAGCACAGGAAGCAAGCTCTAGCCTCAACCTGAAAAATGGTGGTGGGACGCCCCCGAAGGGGTCAGCACTCTATAGGGCTATAAAGTGCTGGTGTGGCAGACATCTAATAGATATACAACAAGTATTTCACACACAAGACCCTCAAATAGGGTGATAATATAGTATAGGCCGTAATCTCAAATTACCCCTTTCAAAATATATACTTACTTTATATAAAGTCAAGTAGCCGGCTCAAAGGCCCATGTTTGTTATAAAACATTTTCCAAAACCCCGTGACTAATGGTCACGACATACGTAGGGTCCAACCCTAATACAACTTCTTATTTCTAGAGTTAGGCTCGAGTACATCATCATGCACTCGCATCATAGATCTCCTACTTCATGTAATCATATCATAGATCTCCTACTTCATGTATTCACCCCATAGATCTCCTACTTCATACAATCACACCATAGATCTCCTACTTCATACAATCACACCATAGATCACTTACTCTATGAAATCACAATTGACACTTGAATCTTATTCAAGTTCATCACAAACAAACTCAACCTTTAAGTTTGATTCTATCAACATTTAGAACAATCCTTAACTAGCATCACAATACTATTAAGATTATTCCTACAACTCATTTATCATTAATGGTAGCCCCTCCATATCAATAGATATGTGGCAGCCTCCCATGTGCTAAGCATCATCATGCAATTATACATTTACATACACATAACATTCATACATGAGTTGGAAGGTCAATTTACCATATTAGCATACTTTTATCTCACATGACTCCATATTCATCAATGTGGTTTCAATTCATGATCAAGTCCATTACTTATCATTCATATCATGTTCAAGCATATTTATTCACAAAAACATGATTTAAGCATTTAGGCAATCTCATGCATAACCTACAAGTTGTAAGCAACTAGATGTCGGTCCTCACCTCAAATGAGCTCTAAAACCTTCCTTCTCGATCCAATGACCAAAGCCTCGGCCAAGGAAGATTGAGAACTGGTTCCTTGCTTGAAAATGGGTGTTAAACAGCTTCCTCAAGTTTCTATTTCAACCCCTAATCGTTGATACGAAAACAGCCCCTAGAACGGGTGTTTTCCGGCTAACTCGATTCCTAGTTTTCCAATATTTACTCTAGGTTAGTATCTAACCTTTACATCAATAAAATAACTTTTCAAGGACATATTATACACTTGGATTAGTGTACAATAGTCCCACCAATCGTTCATATCATTTGGAAAATGAATGGAAAGGATTTGGGGTTAACAACTCACTTTAAAAGAGTAAATCCGTTTCTGCGAGGTTGTGTTTTGCTAGGACGATTTGGAAGCCTTCCTCTACTCCGATTGATGCAAACCAGACCTTCACGGATTCCTCATCTTGAGAGATTTCTTTTGGTATCTCACACGCCTTAATTGGATTGGTAAAACTCGAGATATCAACCAAACAGTCTCAGCACTCTCACAGCTCGAGTTCACAGACCACCACTCCCTCCAGCTCGATTTTTGTAAGATAAGCTCTCTCTCCTCGAACAAAGACCACTCAATTATGAAACTAAACTTCAAGGGCTATCCAAGGAAACCTCATACACGTTATTTGGTTGAGGATAGCTCCTATAATGAGAGGAGACAAACAGCACACCAATTTGTGCGAAAATAAGAGTGGTGGCCCAAACTTTGATTCTTATCAAGTCATGTGCAGCTCTTCTCCATAATGGCCGGCCAAGGTAAGTCTCCTAACCCATTTTTATTTGTCTTGAAGGTACTAATATCATGTGGAGTGGTTCCCAATTGATCCCAATCATTTTGGGGATCCAAATTATCTACCAATACTTCCAAAAATGGGGAAAATGGGTCCTATTGTTTTATCTTTGTCAAAAGATGTCTTTTTGTACTCATCCTAATTTATTTAGAACAAGTCAACTTCTTAAATCACATTATTGATCTCCAATATGTGTAGGCTCATCCCAATAATTTACTTGATGGATATTATGGAAGGAAAATCCTACTCCCATTATTTAGCTCAATAAGGCCAAAGGTGGGGTTATAGGCATTTGTATTCTTCCTTAATCATTCAATCACTTATTTTACATTTGTCATACGTATCATTGGGCTACTAGCCGTGTGGGTCACTCCCGAGTGGGTTTAGAACGCCATTCTCGAATACTTGCTATTTTTAGCAGGTTGGGCCCAAAATAATGTTTGGGCCGCCCGACCTTCCTCAAATTGTCTTGAAAGATTATGTATCACTATTTGGATAATGTTGGGCTCTTTTATTTATTAATAAGTCCCGAATAAGTATTTGCAAAACCCGGCACTAATGTACGAGTTTGAACAGTACGATATTCAACCATGCACTACGTAGAACATTAATCGTTTTACAATTGTTGGGAGATCGGAAATTCAATACATAAATTTGAATTTAAGTTGAATTTTCAAGGACGTTCGGGTGTCACAATTTTACATTGACGATAATATCATATATTAAACATCTTTTCATTTAAAATGTTATATAGACTATGTTTGGTAACAAATAAATTGGGTGAATCTGCTAAAAATGAAGTTCATTTTTAAAATCACTAAACTTGCTGAATCTACTGAATTATTAAAAAATTAAATTTAAAAAATATTTTATTAGAAAATAAAGAAACATTAATTGGAAAAAGCAGCTAAAATGTTCATTTATAGTAACTCCATTCAATCCAGGTAGAAAAGTAACTCCAATTTTACTTTTTTGATCATTACAAAATCCAACGTGCGAAATCAAAATTTAAGTATTTAGAGAAAAATTGATTGATAAGGTTGATAAATTCAAATATAGGGTCACCAAACAACACATAATGTTAAATGAAAAATGAGCATGTAAGCATTTTTTTTATTATAAGATCTAGTTTCTTATTATAGTCACTAAATGTCAATAAATCATATTCTTATCCATTATCCTTATTTTGAGAATCTAAGATTTGTGGTGACTTAAGCATGAAATTAGTTAGAGATGTCATTGCACTAAAGGATTGAGAAAAAGGCTAATAATGACATTTTAGTGTCTGAATATTTTCAGTCAATTGTATCTTACAATAATATTTATCCATTTATCCCAAAAAATATAAATATTCAGTAGAATATTCATACATCAACACGGGTCAATATATAATATTTTGTTTTTGTATTTATTATTCAAGTATTCTACCATCGCTAAAAAATGATATATACCAACCTACCAAATCAATCTTCAAAATTTTCTTAAAACCAAATCAAATACATGCATACTAATACAATTATGGTAAAGCATATGGTGCTGAAGCATATCCCTTTAGGGCATTTATCATCTAATTCCATGTGCCTATCTATGAGAGGCCATGTAAGTAGTATAATCAGTGAGTAGATCAATTGTTATTCAAGAGTATAAATAAAGGCCGTCAAAAAAGTGCTAGGGGCAACCTTAATTTAGAACTAGATTCTTGAGCTAGCTGGTCTTCAGTCAAAACCTGAAGTAAATGGAAATAAACTTAATTTATTACATATTTATGTATGAAAAAGGTATGTTAAAAAGCAGAAAATAAACTTTGACTGGTCATATCCTAGCCTCCCTGTGAAGCATTGACAATGAAATGCTTAAAGGCATTTTTATCAATGGCCTAAAGGAGGAGATCAAAGCAGAACTCAAACTGTATAGGCACAGAGCTTGACCGAGCTGATGGACCATGCTCTATTACTGAAAGAAAAGAATGTGGCTCTGAGAATAAGAGGTAGCAAGGATGAAGAGAAGAGAGTATGTAAAGAAAAGGGGGGACTGGTGGAGACATAGACCAAAATAATACCAGCCTCACTAAGAAGGTTTCTGTCAATATTAAAACAAAGGAAGCACCAAAATTTTACCAAACATTGGAGGGAGGCCAAAGGTTGTCACAAGCAGAGCCAGAAGAAAGAAGTAGAAAGGGTATGTGTCTCAATCAACATCTACTTTTCCTTTTACTGTTCTGGTTCTTATCAGTATAGTGTGAATCCACGTGCCTATCTATGGGAGGCTATGGAAGTAGTAGAATTTATGAGCTGGTTGATCAAGAGTATAAAGATAGGCCATAAAAAAGAGCTAGAGGCAACCTTAGTTTAGAACTCAATTCCTGAACTGGTTGATCTTCAATCAAAATCTGAAGTAAATGAAAAGAACATAGTTTATTAGGTTTAATAAAGGTCAGTGTAGTTAAAAAAGCCAAAAAATAAACTCATTAATATAGCCTTCATATGATTATCCACTACCTAACAATTTGAGGGCATACAAAAAAGTTGTCATCAAGATAGACATTTTTATAGATGGTTTAGTTCAATCTAATGCGTTTTAGAACTTTTCTAGCAGGATAAGATGTCACTCCAAAAGTATTTCTAATAAGTAATATGTAGATTTAAAAAGCATAGCAAAACAGTTCATTCCAAAAGCACACCTTTTCTTCATTTTTTCCATGAGTTGAATTACTTTTTAAGGATTCTTTTTAACCCCATAGCTTAGTAGCCAGAAATATTTTCCTTATAGTTAATTTGAATTGTTTTTGAAGTCTGAACTATTGAACCTCTATTAGTATGGTTCTGGAAATAACTCTTCTAAGGAATCGTATGCACGGCCTGCTGTCCCAGAACCTGCTGCCACGGAATCTTATGCACGGCCTGCTGTCCCAAAACTTGCTGCCATAGACTCTAATGCACTGGCTATCATCCCAGAACTATCCATTGATACTGATCCTATTTTTGACTGGGTGGGGCGGCTGGTTAAGAGCGTGCACGAGCTAGAACCGGATGACATTATTAACAAATTTGTAACAAAGGAAGATGGGGCGCACATAGCATTTGTCAAAAAGCGTCATCAAATCAAGAGCTATATTGCGGTTTCCAGGCTAAAGAAGAATCTGCAAAGGGAAACTGATCTCGAAGCCCCTGCCATGGTGTTCACTGACCCTTGTTTGGTTGCGCTCCCGGGAGTTAGACGCACACGAACATGGTACAATTTTAATAAAAATATTTTTACTCTTAATGTTGCTAGCTTCTTTGATGTGCAGGCCCGCCATTATGTCGATTTTTTGCAAACAAAGCAACTTATGGCCATTGAGTGTTCTGCCAACTTGGAAAATACCAACCTGGAAGCTGCCAGGTCACTGCCTACTGCTGCAAATGCAAAAAATTACACCCCAGCCGCTGCCTATGTTGAAAGCCGAGGTGACCCAGCCATTAATGGGGGGAAGGGGTACCTGGTCACCAATATGTATGAGATGGGGTACGATGATGTTGTCACAATGGTCTGCTTGGATGAGAAAAATAAAACTATTGCATATGCGTGGGAAACAGACCAAGTACCGATAGGAATTAACATCGTCAAGTTAGGGGCAAACCTGGATGAGCTCAATTGGGATGATACCGGGGTTAATTTCACTGAGGAATTTTTACTTAGCTGCCCGGAGGTTAAAAAGAACGGCGAATGGTATGATTTTGATAAACCTAACTTTATTAAACGTGTCTTATCATTCTTCGACGCTAACCTTGACAGGAACAAGAAATACTTGAAAGAGATGAGAAGAAGAGCTAGGAAAGAAAGCAGGGAGAAAAGAGGAATAGACCCCGATGATGAGGCCTTTTCCTCGGACTTCTATCTCTCTTGAATTGATATCTTTGGGGGTACTATCAGCTTTTATTATTTTAAAAATAAATGGTTAAAATACTTGCTTGGAATGTCCGAGGTTTGAACAAAACCTCTAAGCATAGTCTAATTGCTAGCTATGTTAATAGTAACAATGTGAGTTTATGTTGCTTTCTTGAAACTAAAATGACCACGGCTAATTTTAATAACTACCTTCTAAATAAATGGCCGGGGTGGGTTTGTGAAAATAATTTTAATAAAATAAATGGAGTCCGTATGGCCTTGATGTGGAACCCGAATGTGATAAATTGTGTTGTTCAGGTGGTTGAGGGACAATATATGCACCTTAAATGTGTGTGTCGTATCTCCCAAATGGCATTTTTATCCACTTTTGTGTATCCGTTATATACTGTTTTGGAACGCAAGGCATTATGGGAAGAACTTGCTATTCTAGGGGATGGTTTTACCGAACCTTGGGTTATAGCGGGGGACTTTAATTGCGTTTGCGCTCCAAATGAAAGGGTGGGGTCTACCCCACCTACGGCATATATGATGCAACACTTGTTTGATTTTAAAGTTCAAGCTAGCCTAGAGGATGCACCTTCTACGGGTGAATTCTTTACGTGGAATAAGGGTGCACTTTGGGCTAAGCTTGACCGTGTACTGATAAATGATATTTGGTGTCAAAATGGTTTAAATGTAAGGGCCCATTTCCACGAAATGGAGGTTGAGTTTGATCATACGGCTTCCGTAATATCAATACTCAATAATTCCTCTCCAAGGCCTAAACCATTTAAGTTTTTTAACATGTGGATTAAACATCCCGAGTTTGCTAATTTAGTAGCGCAGGGTTGGAGGCGAGACATTGAGGGCACGGCGCAATTTTCTATGGTTAGGAACCTAAAGCTACTCAAGAGGCCACTTAAAGACCTAAATACCAAAGAATTTGGCCACATCTCCAGCAAGGCGAAGAGGGCGAAAGAGGAATATAAAAGATTGCACAAACTATCTCTCCAAAATTCGATGGACGTGGATAACCGAAACCTATTGGTGGAAGCTATGAAAAGGGCAAAGTTCCTTAGTGAGGCCGAGAGTAGTTTCTACCAACAAAAGGCGAAGGCAACTCACATCCTAGAAGCGGACAAGGGGACGAGGTACTTTCATGCGATTATGAGGAAGAAGACCATCAGAAATGCCATCTCCTCTATCACCTTAGAGGATGGCAACCTCACCACCTCTTTGGAGCAAGTTGGGAGTGAATTTGTAAATTTTTTTGTTGATTTGTTTGGTACTAATTTTGAATGCCACCCCCTAGACCTCTCGGTCTTGGAAAGCGGTCCTATGATTGAGCCAAGTGCTCACTCTAACCTCCTTGCTCCGGTTGAATTAATAGAGATTAAAAATGCTCTATTTGACATCGGCAATGACAAGGCACCAGGACCGGATGGCTATTCATCCACGTTTTTTAAGTCCAATTGGAACTTTATTTAAAATGACATAGTCCGGGCCGTCAAAGAGTTCTTTCATTCGGGTAAGATACTAAAGCAAATAAATCACACGGTTATTGCACTTATCCCAAAAACGAATCACTCGCCGAAGGTATCGGACTATAGACCAATCTCTTGTACGAATGTGATTTATAAAATAATTACAAAAATCCTAGCGGCTAGACTCTCTCCATGCCTTCCCGGCTTGATTGACCTAGCCCAAGGAGCTTTTGTTGATGGCCGCCTCATGTTTGATAACATATTCCTTGCCCAGGAACTTGTTAGAGGATACACGAGGAAGCGAATCTCACCTAGATGTATGATCAAGGTGGATTTGCGTAAGGCCTATGATACGATTTCTTGGACTTTTCTAGAGGGGGTTTTAAGGGGTATGGGCCTCCCCTTGAAATTCGTTGGATGGGTTATGGAGTGCGTAACCACGGCTTCATTCTCTGTCTCTTTGAATGGTTCTTTGTATGGTTTTTTTAAAGGAAAGAGGGGTATACGCCAAGGAGATCCAATGTCTCCACTTCTCTTTGTCCTTTGTCTTGAATATTTTTCGAGGTTAATTAATTTAAAAACCAAAGGGCCAAATTTTAACTTTCATCCTCAATGTTCAAAACTTAGGATTACTCACTTGGCCTATGCGGATGACCTCATACTCTTCTCGCGGGGTGACATATATTCCATTGATATATTGGTCAGTGCCCTGAGAGAGTTTGGTGACGTATCGGGCCTAATGGTAAACCATAATAAGTCTAACATTTTTGTGGGGGGAGTTAATGATATAGATCTTGTTGACATTATGGCCCTTGTGGATTTTGGGCGTGGTACCTTCCCAGTTAAATACCTAGGAATCCCACTTGCCCCTTTGAAAGTCTCGGTGGCGCAATACTCGCCCTTGATTGATACTATATCCGATTTTTTGAAGGCGTGGAACACAAAGACCCTATCCTATGCCGGTAGACTGGAGCTAATTAGATCAGTAATCCAAGGGGTCCAATCTTTTTGGCTCCAAGTCTTTCCGGTCCCCCAAACTATCTTGGATAGGATTGTTTCTATTTGTCGAATTTTTCTATGGGGTGGGAAATATTCTAAAGTGGCTTGGGATGACATATGTCTACCAAAAGAGGAGGGGGGCCTTGGAATTCATAGTGCCAAGGTTTGGAACCATGCTCTCCTCTCTCGTACACTTTGGGATGTTCATAGGAAAAAGGACACCCTTTGGGTGAGGTGGGTCAATGGGGTTTACCTTAAGGGTAGGAGCGTGTGGGATTTTATCCCACACAACCGTGACTCGATGTTCATGAAGAAATTGAGTCACATCCGGGACCAAATTTTGGGTTGCTTTAATAATTTGAATGATACCATTATGGGCCTAAATTCTAGATCCATTAATGGTAAACTCCTTTCCGGAAAGATTTATGAGTTGTTGAGAACTAAAAGGACGCCAAGAGTATGGATGAGCTTCATATGGAAGTCTTATATACCCCCAAAGTTCTCATTCAACGTTTGGCTTGCTTTGAGGAACCGGTTACCTACACAGGATAACTTAGGTTACCTACATATTGTTAATCGTTGTGACCTTTGCAAGGGTGGATTGGAAACAATTCCACACCTATTTTTTCGTTGTCATTACACTTGTAGGGTCTGGGAAAAAATAAAGGAATGGTTAGGCATGACACGAGAGATGACCACGCTTAGCAGCTCGATCAAATGGATCCTGAAGGAACACAAAGGATCAAAGATCAAAGGGAAGGTTGTCCGGATTGCTTTTTGCGCCGCGGTTTACTACCTTTGGCACGCTAGGAATGCCAATCGATTTGATGAACAGGATGTCAAGGAAGAGGAGATCATCTCAAAAGTCAAGCATGTGGTGTATAAAATACTTTTCAATTTATACCCGCATGACTTGATTACATTTTGAGTAGACTGTGGCATGAAGCATGGCCTTGGATTTAAGGGTGTGTGCATTTTGCAACACCTTTGTACTTTGTTTAGAATTTTAGTCTCTGAACTGTGTGCGTGCATGTGCTGCACCGATGTATGTTTGAACTTCTTGATGGGCCAAGTATAATACTTGGTTATTTTGACATAGATTAGATCGAATAAAAACCTCCTTTCACCCTCATATTATGTAAGGGTCGGGGAGGTTTTAGGAGATCTAGGATATGTGATGTGTAGTTTTCTGGGTGTTAATATATATTTACATTTCATCCAAAAAAAAAATCTTAACATATTTACCCAAACTAAAAGTTTTGTGCATGAAGAATGTGCCACAAAGTTTTCTTTCACCCCTTCCACCTTGAAGGTGTAAAGCAAGATACCTAGGAAAATATATTGATGAGGATAAGAATTTTACAAAGACATAAAAGACAATAAAACATGAAGCACAAAACTCAGATGGATTTATCCCATTGTGTATTATAAAACCTATTTCCATCATTTTCAATAAAGCCAAAGACTCACTATTTTTTGGCTTGAGAATATGATGGAATAAAGCAAAATGACTCACTAAACGGTCTGCGCTTCTTTGTTATGAAGTAACAGTCAGTCTATGCAATTTTCGATGCAATTTTCACTATGGGTGATTCGGAAACAGTCTCTTTGTGCTTTAGTACAGGGGTAAGACTGCGTACATCCGACCCTCCCTTACCCCACCGTAGGTGGGAGCCTTTGCGACAATGGGGTAATGATGATGATGGTGTATTATAAAACCTCGAAAAAGATTAAGACCAACACAAATAGATTCAAATATACGGTGATATTAATGTGAATACAACCAAACCCTGACAATAACGCTGCTAATGAGAGTTGTTTCAAAGAACTCAGAGAGACAGAGACTACCAAACCGTGACAGATATTTATGATTTCTTATTTATATTGATAATGATATTAATGTTTTCCTAATCATGATTAGTTACAAGATGACTGATTTATTTATATTTTAACAATTTTAATAATGTCATGATGATAATTATAGCCCAATCAATCATTTTTTATGGTTTCGAGATTTTCATTGCTACTCTAAAAACTTACTTGACTAGTATGACTTATTAAAACTCTTTGAAGTATACACACAAGAGAATCCATAAAATAGGAGAAACTTTGTTCTCATTTAGTTGCCTTGAATCCAACTTTGTCTCTACGCACTTGAATGATCGATTTAGGGATGGACTCGGTTCAGGCCACATGCCCGGAACCGGCCCAATACTGTTTAGAACCGGCCCGGCTCGACCCGGAAAACCGGTTCCGGGCTTAGGCCTGGACCGGGTGTAAGCGGTTTCAATTCCGTGTCTTGCAAAAGGCGAACCAGCCTAGTCGGGCTCAGTTCGAGCCTTTTTCTTTTCTTTGTTTTTTTTTTTTTTCATTTTTTTTTTTGTTTTTCCCGGATTGGGCTAGGTGTTTTGGGGGGGGGGGGGGGTTAGGGGTGGGGGTGAAGGGGGGAGGTCAAGGGTTAATTAGAAAAGCAAAAGAAAAAAAAAGAAGTGAACCTGCCCCGCCTGGCTCGGAACCGTTGCCTACCCGGGCCGGTTCTGGTTCTCCCTTCCCCAAAAAAAGCCCGGCCAGACCCAGGCCCGAACCGGCCCGGGTCCATCCCTAGATCTATTTAATGATTTTCTCAGAGTTTGTCCAAACTCCAAACAAAATCTGCAATATACAATTCTTATTTTATAATCACATTGAGTAGATGTTATTTTTGGAGAAATTTCTGGACCAACTAAATTGTCGAAGAACCATTTGGTAAAATCAATTTCAACCCCAATTAGGAGCAATAAGTAGACCACTAAGAAAATCAAGCCCAGCTATGCCCCAAACACATCTTTAGTTTAACACCCACAAATAGCAAGTTATAATGGTACGGAGACACAATCAGTGTCTGATTCATCCCAACAAAAATTAGAGATTCAAGCACTGCATTTAGAATTGGGATTTAAGGTAAACACACATTCAGATCCCAAACAAGAAAACTCTATATGCAGATTAGCAGGCGATTAATGACTGGGCTCCCATATAAGTAAAAAGGAAATAGAAATAAAAAGTCAACAAAGGAAACCAACAATGGCAAAGTAGTTCACCTAAACGAGATAAAGCTCAACCAAATAACATCAAGGGGATTGCTTAAGTAGGAATGATAAAAGCCCCCACCCCACCCCACCCCTCACACACAAAAAGAACACTATTCGAATGCATCATCATCATCGGGAAGTGGCATGTTAGCTGCATCTTCTAGCTCTCTTTCATGCCTGAAAAGATAGCAATTGTGTGAGATTAAAATCATAAAAAAATGTACCAAAACAAACTAGGATTCCAATTCCGCGTGGTGCTTCAGATTTTGGTTTTCAGCTTTCAACATAATCAAACTCTTCTCAACTTTTTCCCTTCCCTCCAAACAAAATAAAGGCTAATGTACATAAGTTGAGTTAATGACAAAAATATTTCACATTTATGCACACTGTTGTTAAATGAAGATCACACTAAAAGCTCATCTATTAGACATTTATTAGAAAGTAATGTTTCACAGGGAATTTTTATGTTCAACCCCATTAACGCATTCTCAGTCTCACCCACAGTATAAGAAATTCAGGTTATTCAGATACTTTGATCAGATTAACCTTTACCAAACATACACATAGTTCGATATCTTGCCTTACCTAAATCTCTAGGATACCCTAATTAATTAGCAATGCTTCAATGAGAAACAAAACACACACTTGTGCCTGATGATAAGTATTCAACATTTGAATACATAATCTTCTTTTGTTACTATATAAAACACTAATCTTCTGTATATCAGAATGCAAGCCTACAGAAATATGTATGTGTCTGAAGCATGATATGCAATAGAAGGGTATCTCACAATTGTTGTGCATCAAGGTCAATTTGTACTTCTGGAGGACGCAGAGCAATGTCACCGCTGAATTGAATAGTGGGGTCCCTAAAGATATCAAGAGAAGAATTAATATATATCATTATGTGCTTGGACATTAAACAATAATGATAGAGCACATGTGTTAAAAAAACAGATACCCAGCAAGCTTCCTGGTAAGATACAAGAAAGGCTTCTCAAAATTATAGTTGCTCTTCGCAGAGATCTCATAGTACTGCAAATTCTTCTTCCTGTGGAATGTAACTTGCTTTGCTTTCACCTGCCTGTTCTTGACGTCAACTTTGTTTCCACAAAGAACAATGGGAATATTTTCACAAACCCTGTCAGGAAAAATTATGTTCTGGTATCCATATTAGCAATTCTAATTGATTGTTCTATAAGGCCAAAGATAACTTCTTTATAAGTATACACTAAACCTGCAAAGATCACGGTGCCAGGTGGGAACATTCTTGTAAGTCAACCGTGCAGTAACATCAAACATAATAATTGCACATTGACCATGAATGCTACAAGTGAAAAACATTTATAAAATGAGAATATTGTATATAATCAAACGATAACATTAGAACTTCATTATAAATAACATTAAGAACTACAGCAAGGCACAAAAATAGGATTTGCCTTTTGCAAGTTGCAACTATTAATAGCAATCAATAGATTTGATAAACCTACACATATATCACTGGTTGGAGTGGAAACTATGTATGACGATCATTAATTTTTTTTAATAGTTATAACTTACTAGTAACCATCACGGAGTCCTCCAAACTTCTCTTGTCCAGCTGTGTCCCAGCAGTAGAAGCGGATCTTTCCATGGGTTGTTTGGAAGTCCAGAGGATGAACCTCAACACCAATGGTAGCTGCCGATTTACAAAAGAAAAAGAGAAAATCAGAGAAATATGGGATTAATTAATGATCATGCAATGAAGTGATTATGACTAAGCAGAGTCCCTCACGTTCATATCTCTTCTCGAATTCACCAGTGAGATGCCTCTTCACAAATGTAGTTTTTCCTTGCCACAATAAGAAACCGTTTTTTGGTTCAGCGGTTCATCCAGTGATAATATGAATATGAAAAAGCGGCCACTAACAAAAGAGAATGAGAAAACCATGTCATCCACAAATTGAACATACCAGTCCCTCCATCACCAACTATGACTAGCTTGAAGCTTGGGTAGTCCACAGTTTTCTGATTAGGAAGAGCCTAGAAACAGCATGTAAATCTCAAATACATTCTAACCAATCTCGAAAGAATAATCAAATACACAATTGATGGAGGATTGTAGGAGGATATGTCAAAAATATACTCTACACGCAGTCACGCACATATATTGACACACATCAACCTGTAATATCTAGGGCATGTGATATAAATCGCTAGTATCAAACATGGCAAATGCATACACACGCGTAAAAATGTGCTCCATAATACTGTGAACAGTGGAAAAAGAATGACAAAAATCAAAAGCAATAGCTCGCCACGAAATAGATAAAGTATTACTCCCTCCTTCCCACTTTGATTATGATATGTCCCACAAATGTTGGGAGGAGAAGGCATTACTTCATTACTGTTAAAAGAACGCAGACTGAAACGAAGAGATAGGCAGACGACTGTATGAAACTGAAGAGCAGAAGCAAAATAGGGAAAATAGAACTATATCAGTAAACGGAAACACTATACCATGAGGATCACGATAGGGAGCACGCCTGAGAGGAAGGTTTTGTAGCCCGGAGAGTGGCTTTAAATTGACGCGAGTGGTTCACGTATGAACTTTGTCGTTTCCTATTTTTTTTTTTTTTTTTGAGAAAAAGTGGTAAATAAAAGTAAAATATGCTCCTTGAATAGAGATGATTCAACCAAAAAATAGAAGTTGTTGAGAGAAGTGTCAAATTGTCTTTTTAGTGCATGAATGCAAAACTATCTAACGGTGCATAAGTGGTATGACAAATAGTCAATTAAAGAAACAACAAATAGAATATTTTTCTAAAATTTACCAAAAACACATAAGATCGTGAAAAAAAGGAGAGAGAAATGTTAGAAAAATAATCATTTATGTATCTTAATACTCCCTCCGTCCCTAATTTTTCTCCCATTACGGCTGGGCACATTTATTAAGATAGTGAGATTTGTATGGTGGAGAGTTGTGCAGAGGAGAGAGAAATGTGTAAGAATGTGTAAGAATGGTTGTGAACCACAAATTTTTTGCCGAAAGGGGAAAGAGGAGATAATTTTGGGACGGACGAAAAAGGAAAGTTTGAAGATAATTCAGGGACGGAGGGAGTAATGCTTTTATTATCTTAAATATTTTCTCTCTATTTAGAAGGTTTCCTTAGGTATTCAGTATACTCATTGAAGATATTTTGAAAAATAAATCTATTTATTCCGATGTGTAATGGAGATATTTTGGTAAGCCTTGTGGTTTCCTTTAACCCATTACCAATGTGGCAAAAGACTTACCAATGTGATAGCCCTAGATGTCTTGATGGAGAATATGGACTCTGACCCCCCGGTCTGCCGACTATTGGGCCTGGACAGCGGCCCACACACGTTTATTGGATTCTTATTATTGTACATTATTATTATTCAGATATTCTAGATTAGCTTTTTATACTATTAGTCCATTTATGTAACCGGGTCTGTCAGGCCCATGTTAGAGACCCAGACCCGGATTTTCCCTATATATACTCCCTTATGTAAGGCTTGTAAATATAACTCATAGAATTCATAGTTCATACTCTATACACATTAATCTCTTTCTCCACATTCTTTGTTCAAACCTCTCCTTATTATACAGTATGGGTATCAATTATCCAACAATGGTGCTCTCATTGAGAGGTTGAACACAAGTGAGAAAACCTCACCAAAAAACCAAAAATTCACCCAAATCACGAAGAAATCAGAAAAAATTAATCTAGCAAATCAGGATTTAGAATGTTCCAGATCTGAGTCGGAGCCGTCGCCGCCATCCCGCCGCTGTACACCATTTGCTGGAGCTCGCCGCACCAGTTGGACTTCGCCGCGCCGTTCCCAGGAAGTGTTATCACCCCTACAGAGCTCACTTGTCCATCCCTTTGCGAAATTTGTTCAAAAGGTTGCCAACAACTCCGATTTGAAATTCAAGAGCACGACTAGGCAAGTTGCTGCTTTAATCTCCTTCATTGCTGAGCCATCGTGCGCCACCAAGACCGATGTCATCCCTTCTACCAACGTAGCTCCACCTGGCCAGTCTCTGGTCGTTTCTCCATGTTACCAGTCGTCGGTCGCTCCTTCCCATTGACGCGAGGGATCTGCCGATTGAAGATTTAATGAATTTCACCATGGCGGCTTGGAGTTCGTAAAATTCAGACTCAAGATCGGATCTGGGACAGGTTTATTTCTCCTTCGAAAGCTATGGTGGACAACATTGTCGTCCTCAGTCGTCGCCTCCCTAGTGTGACTGCAAAGCGTGACTTCCTTCTAGTACTGGTGTGCTGCGCAAACAGTGGACGAGCCGGCGGGGAGGTGGTTTGATAGGCATACGATCAGTTGACCCAATCAATCTTTCAAACTTGTGGCTTAAAAGTGTACGGACGTGTGTTGCTCCCAGCTCATAGATGTCAAGTCTCTCCTTTTTTTCCAAAGAAAGAACAAGATGGACAAGGCTGTCATTTGCCAATGGCAGAATCATTAGGGAATTGGCCCATACCTACTCAAACCTTATGGGCCAGACTCTTTCTCAGCAACATATTTCATCCCAAGCAGTTTAATTTTCAGCCCACTTCAAAAAGATAAGTACTCTTTAATTTGTCATATTTATTTTTATTTAAATCATTTTTTTTATTGGGCGAATGTCACACTATCACGCACTTATGATCAAATGTCTAGTAGAGTGTGAGTTGAGACCCATCACTAGGATTTAAAGCCCTGACCCAGATCATGCACAAAGCCCCGACCAAGTCGGGCACGAAGACAAAGCCCCGACCAAGTCGGGCACGAAGACCGGTCTTAGTCATTCCTCGAGTGGCGACCGTTGCTTGCGAATGGCTCACACATCCATTCTACAAAGTATTTTATCATTACATTAACAATTCACATCTCCACTTGTTTCAAGTGACGAACTCCCGATCAGAAACATAAATCCCAAGAAAAAAGTTTATATGTATGATAAATGTGTAGGTACAAAGATGACTTTACTCATTTTCACCTCGTCTTCACTCGCCTCAAAGAGTGGGGACTGGGGGACTGAAGGGTCAGAGTTTCTAGACGAGAAGAAAATATCACGCGTGAGTAGGAACGAAAGATGAGTCAGATGAAGACGGGTTGAGCTAGGCAAAAGTGATTATGCCGCAGGGGGCCTACCTTCCTTGTTTCATGTTGGGGGCGCTAGGTGTACTCTTTTTCCCTTTATTAGGATTTTTTCCTACCGGGTTTTTTCCTAGTAAAGGTTTTTAACGAGGCACCTCCCCATTATGGACAAGGGTGGTGGTCCCCGGCCGGAGAGGAAGAAACCAAAGACAGAAGAACGTTGCAACTACAATTTGGACTACTCCCTTTCACCTCGAGTACTCTCGGCTCAGGGAGTGGGGGACTCCTGATGGAGTATATGGACTCAGACCCCCCGGTTTGCCGACTATTGGGCCTGGACAGCGGCCCTCACACGTTTAGCGGATTCTTATTATTGTACATTATTATTCAGATGTTCTAAATTAGCTTTTTATACTATTAGTTCATTTATGTAACCGGGTCTGTCAGACCCATATTAGAGGCCAGACCCGGATTTTCCCTATATATTCTCTCTTATGTAAGGCTTGTAAATATAACTCATAGAATTCATAGTTCATACTCTATACACACTCATCTCTTTCTCCACATTCTTTGTTCAAATCTCTCCTTATTATACAATATGAGTATCAATTATCCAACATGTCTAATGAAGATATTTTGGAAAATAAATCTATTTATTCTGGATTTGCGAAACGCATGGAGTTTTGGAATGAGTAAGGCTTCTAAATAAATACTAGGTAGTATTTAAATATATTTACCAATGTGGCAAGGCTTATTCCAAAATATCTAGTATTTTATCTACTTAGTAGGTATGTATTCTTATTTATTCTTACTTTATTTACTCACTAAATCGAGAATATGAAATATAGGACTACCACATTGATAAACCTTGATATCATGAGGGGGTTTAGTCGGTATTTAAAAAAATCAGCTACCATGGTCTCTCCAAATACCGCCGCTACCACTGAATTGAGCTCCACCACCGTCTTATCAACGCCGGTGACCGATGCCTCAGTACTGAGCGTGGTCCAATCGCATAGTTTCTCTTCAGTGCCGAGACCTGTCCTTACTGAGATGCCGTCCTCGCCGCTGTCCTCTTTGTTTGTCTCTACAACACCGGCTTTGATGTGAGTCACACCTATATTTATGTGGACGTCGATGCCCCCTACCCTGCAGCTACCGTACCTGTCTTCGCTGACTCTCAGGCCGAGTCTAGCGCGACTGTGGCTGCTTGTGAACACTTTGCCGGACCAACTCTCTCCGGGAACCCAGGGCTGCTGCCAGGGGCGGAGCCAGGGGGGGTCAGTCGACCCTGCTGAAAGTTTGAGAGCATAGAGCTCTGAAATATCTTCTATTTGATATATTATGGCCCCCCGTAACTCATTACGAGTAAAAAGTTATGACTTCTGCAAAATCAGCACTATCTAAACGTAAAATCAGCAAACTTTGATGAGTAATATTGATTTCCCCCCCCAAATTTTAAAAATAGCGTATAATTAACTCATTACTTACGTGACATGACTCAAAAATAGAGCAAAAACAGTCTCTTTTATTGTTACGAGTGCCTATTTATCTAAACTACATATAAAATATTCAACTCGGACATTGTTTGGAAACGATCCACCGTTTTCATTTTGTATAAAGTTGATTCTCGACCCCCAAGACCGTATTTCTGGCTCCGCCACTGGCCTGGTGCTGGACCGATCAGCCGAACCATATGGGTCAATCCAGGACACTTTTTTCACAATAGCTTGCATTATTGGAAAATGAGTCAATCTAATGTCACAGTAAACCTTTGTATGATTTGGATGCATGTGTCAATCTAATATCATTATCCTTTTCAATAAACTTGGAATAGGGGTGAAAAATCTCGAACACACAACTATGGTTCTACAATTGGCAGACCCCTCATTGAAAAACTTCTAGGCATAACCAATGGTGCCTCGATCGGTAAAAGCCAAAAAAGGAATACTACCCTTCCGACTTCGCAGTACGGAGTACTATACATGAAGGAAGGATTGACTCCCTCATTATCAAACGATCATTCTTACTTAGCTACACGAGGAGCAAAAATAGACATTAGAAGGTGAAAAATCATATTTTGACTTGGTAAAGAAACACAACAGTTCTCTATGCAAGAAGGCGCCAAATGGGATGACGGGAAGCAACCTCAATAGGAGGAAGAAGACATCCTCAAAATCACATTGACAATTGATAAGGGACACAGAAAGATCTACCCAATAAAAGGTGGAAGAACAACCAAATTCTTCTAAACAAAAGCCATATATGCATCGCCTTAAAGAGGTATACTTGTCTTGCTTATGAGGTTAACCTAAGTGCTTATTGGGAGACAACCCAACAAAAAATTATCATCTCAATTCAAATGTCATACTTTTCGTACACTCAAAGACAACTCGTTCCATTATTGAAATCTTTATCCTCCTTTAAGCTAATGTCTGGGATGAACTTCTATGGAGAGTGTATAATTTAATACTTATTACATAATGAAATTAAGTGATTAGTCATATTGCTTGTTAATGTGTGGTAAGTGTGATGATTCCATATTTAATACAATGCTTGTTAATGTGTGTTTATAAGATATAAACACACACAAATACAATACAAGTATTACTTATATCATACATATCCAAAAACATAATTTTGATATCTCCAACATGTTCCCGCCTAGGCGATGGGTTGGTGCAAGACTAGAGTCTAGCTACTTTCATGACACTAGATGTAACAAATAGTAAAATAAGCAACAACCTCCAATATAAAGAAAAAAGTAAGAACAATAATTGTTTTTTTCAGTTTCTTCCTGATGTCGACAAGTACTCCTGCTTTGCAAGACTGGCAATCCAAGCAAAGTTTGTTTATATCATTGTTAAATATGGCACAGTCAGCATCAAGAGCCGATGTTTGATTGTTGATGCCTACCCAACTTGTTGGCCATGAATCCCATGATGGACTCACAAAAGTGAAATTACAACTTTGTGGAGGAATACAACATCCAGACTGCATAAAAGAGGCCGCCCAGAGGAATGAAATGTTAGTTCGAGAAATAGTACGTTATATAATTATATTCATTTAACAATTATAAATTTATAATTGGTTATGGTTAGTTTATGAGAGACATTTATAATTCTAAAAACTTTTGATCCTATAATTGTTATTTAAATATATAAGTCATAATCTTTATCAATGTTTTCTCATCTAATCCATATCAAAGTCCCACAATTGAAGCATGTTGTCCCAAGCATTACACTAGTAAATCTATTTGTCTATATTTTTGAATATTTGAAAAAAATAAGAGTTTTTTACGCAAGTATTATCAATCATATTTGGGTTTACAAAAAAGTGAGTAAGTGGCCATAACTACCCATCACATACGGCAGTTTAGGAGGAATGGTAGGGAATTCACCTTGTTCTTTTAATTACTAGTCATATTTTTGTTAGAGAGATTTAAAGTAGTATTATTTGTGTATTAATAATACTATAAGGTACCCTGCCAACCAGACTTGAACAACCCAAATAAGGTACCCGATCTTGGGTATAGGAAGGTTGGGCCCGGTCGGTCCTAATAGCTAGTTTGAATAATTCTTGTGCCTTTTCCCTATTAGTTAGAACCAGACATGTATAAAATTGTTGTGTGAACAAGATATTTATTAAAATGAGAAAAATACGTAGTATAAAAAGAAGAACTTAATTGTACTATACTACCTCCGTCCCATTTATATTGGGATGGAAGAAGCTAGGTGACACGGTTATTAAGAAAAGTGGGTTTGCGTGCACAAACAGGACAATATAAATGGGACAGAGGGAGTATTATTTGGAGCCACACAAACTTTGCCAAATATGGTATGAGACAATTTAAGTGGGACTTCCCGAAAAGGTAAAACAGGACAATATAAATAAAACAGAGGGAGTATTAATTATATACTCCGTACTTCGTATGTTTAAGCGGGGTCCGATCTGGTATTTTTCAGTACTCAAAATCTAGAATCGGCCACATACATATTTTAAACGGTAACTTTCAGTTTGAGATAAAATCATAAAAATCTGTACAAACGTTGAAGTACTCGATATTCATACCATTACTGGGTCGCACTCAAGTGATTGGTTATTAACTTATTATACTTCCTCCGTTCTTAAATAAATGTAACGGTCAACATTTCACACTTGTCGAGACACAACTTTGACCATTAATATATATGATTTTGTATTAGTAAAAAAAAATGAAAAAATTAGATTATGAAAATTTACAATGAGACAAGTTTAACAATATTTTTTTCATAAAAAAATATTATTACATTAATAAATAAAACATAGTCAAAGTAGAACATGTGAATAATGTAAAAGTCAAAGTGCATAAGTTCTGATTAAGGTTGAAGACCACGTAGGTACCTACCTGTAAGGGGGTGAGATTTGCAGCATAGAGCTGCTGAGACGAGGAGAAAGAAGCGCGCCTCAAGTCAGCGCAGGGACCGTCGGAAATACCAAGACAAGTTGAGATTTCGGTCCACCCATTCTCATCGCTAACCTTCTCGCGAAGCCAGGAAGAGAATGAACCGAAACGGTATTCCGCGTAACCCCGACCAGGCGCCTTCTTGGCCGAGCCTGAGTAATTGGAGTACGCCGCCAGGGCAATGACAAACCCAAACATGATAAGCAATAAGATCCCCATCACTATCCTGTAAGTTATCCCATATCTATCTTTATCAAGCCAGAATGTCAAGCAGCACCAAAAACCGCTCACGAGCATCAAGGCACCAATTATGACAACCCAGCCTACGAGGGATGTCTGGGGTCTGGAGAATCCGGGGGTTTTGTAGGATTTAATACTCTTCACACAAGAATTGCTGGAAATCATCCAACTGCCGACTACAATAATGGGGATAGCGAGGATCATGGTTACAACACATATCCATATCCCAATTCTTCTCTTAGTTTCTTTTTCCATTTTCCAAGAAGGCTACCAGCAGGGCTTCTAGCTAATTAAGGGCTGCACGTATAAGTATAAGACAGTTCAGTCCTACGAATATAAGATTTTGAGCTACTCCTCATATAAAAAAAATGAAACTCTATTCTTAACAACAGTTCTACTTATAGTATATATGTGGCTTACTTTATTGACCTTTTAAGATGGAACTCAGTCTTAATAATAGTATAGTATGTGGCTTCCTCTATCATATCTTGAGTAAACCTTCTCTACTTCTCTGCATATTTATATCACAAGTCCAGCGGGTAGTGGAATTGAAGCAACCGGCAAACACGGGTGTAATTTTCTAATTCATTACTACCTCTGCCCCAAGTTGATTTGCAAATTTGACTTTTTTGGTCAAACAGTTTCGTTTTGTTCACTTAATTAGGGTGTCAATTTTTTAATATATTCTAATTTGAATATGTAAATTTTAATTATAAAAATTGAATTACCTATCCATAGGGAGGATTGACTTTTATTATTGGTTGGCCAAAAAATGTTGACTTTGCAAAACAAATTGCTCGAAATGTTGACTTTTATTAGGGAGTATACTTTACAGCCTAATTAAGCTCGAAATTGCTCAAGACCTGGACAATGTTTCTTTGCTGGGAATTAAAGTACCTTTTAAATTAGATGTTTTTTCACTAAGGGGTGGCTGTGTTTGCTGGGTGTTGCTGCCATCTTTCCAGATGATACATAACCATCAGCAAGTGATTAATGATATCTTTGGTAGAAAAGTCAATCAGCTATTCAACATCTATGTTTTCTTAAAGAAAAACTTGGCTTCTTTTTAACAGTATGTTTTCCAAGGAAAATATTCACAAATTTAGGTCTCTTTCAGTTTAGGTGCTTTTAGGACAAATTTTTTCATGAAATTTTGTGAGCTATTTAATCAGGAATAAGTTAAATATGTTTTTGAAAATTGGGCAGTTTATTGTAAATAAAGCATGCCGTTTTTTTCAATAATTTAGTCAATTGACTTCTTGATTGAACTTTAAGATGAAACTACGTTGATATGATTTACACTTCATAGAGAATATGGTCACAAAACTTCATCAAAAAGTTCGACCTAGAAGCACCTCAAACGAATGAGGCCTAAAACTTATAACTTTTAGGACTAGAGAGAATTCTCTAAGGGCATCCTCATTGTTGGGATTATTTGGAGATCAACTTGATGATGTGGATGATCTTTTTTGTGATTATGGTTGAGAAAGAGTGATTATTAGGAGTGATTATTTAGAAAAATAATCTGGTATCAAATTTTAAAGTTAGATTATTGTGAGATTATTCTACATTTCTACCACCTTTCATTATATCAAGTTTCGAGAATTGTGCTCCATGATTAAATGTGCATTACTACTTAGTGCGTTAGGGAAAAATAATCAATGCACATTTCTAAAAATACAATCGACATACCAAATGCCATACAAACTTTCTTTTAAAATGGAATCATGCAAACCTTTTAATTTTACATTTCAAATTTTATTGAGAAACAATTAAAGATATGATAATTTTCGGTTGTTTTTTTTATAAAAGATTAAAAAGGAAAATTTTTTGTTTATAAATATGTGGTTTGTTATAACATACGTAATATATACTCATTTTTTTATGAATTTGCATTATCCTTTTCCTATTTTTTAATTATAAACGTGAGGTAATTAGTGTGTATGTGTGAGGGTGAATTAAACGTGTGAGAGTGCATTTAAGGAGAGTTACACTTTTAATGTATATCTCCTAAAAAAATCCAAGTAAATAGAGAGCATGGTTGAGAGAAAAGTGATATATTTTGAGATTATCTAAGATCTTTTATGTGGCAATGATGTGGCACTAGTGACTCATAAAAAATCTGTTTATTTGAGGAGCATGAATGTGGATGCTCTAAATAGGAGTAAAAAAGTTTTGAAATTGAAAAAATGGCAAAAATAGAAGTAGGGACTTTTGACTTGACAAAAATAAGACCACTATTATTTAAGACAAAAAAGGGACTAAATATCTCAACGTTACATTTTTGTAGCCGGGACTCATCTCTCTCTCGCATCTCGAATAACAGAGCAGTGCTCCACCACTTCGACGAGCTCAACGACGACAGGCAAAATTGGCAGACAACGGCGGCGGGCACAGGGTGATACTCCACTTTGGCGAGATCGGCCGACAATGACGATGATATTCCTTCTCCCTGCTGTTATACATCCTGAGCCACGTCAGCTACGTAATAAGCAAGAAGAGAAGTGCCAGATAAGCTGAGGATTAACGAAGACTTGCGTGGAAGAACCTGGAAGAAATCTCTTTTCGTTAATATGTTGAAGTAGTTAAGATCAGTTAGTTTGGCAGATGGCTTTCTCATTCTACTACATATATTGTAAACAATCTGTACTTCCATTTTTACGGAGCTTGATGATGAATGAAATCTCCCTTCTTTTCTTGTCTGAAGCAATTCCCTCTCTAACTATATGTTCGAATTTTTTTCTTCCCTAGAGATTCCTACGATAGTTGATTAGAATTTTCGAATCTTATTCCTAAATTCTATCAATTGGTATCAGAGCACCGATTCTGAAAAATCAATTTCTGCCATTCAATCTGAAGTAAAACTTCATACTTACATCCCGGCCAAGAAGGTTACTATTGCTAGTTTATCCGCAAAATGGAAGAAAGGATGACTCTACTGGAGCAGCGATTGATGGAGCAATCCTTGGAGAGTGAGAAGAAGTTCTTGGATACTTCACAAAAACTGGATGTCCTGTTAGGGTTGCTGCAGAAGAAAACCAGTGAAGAAACCAATCATTCTCTGCACAACACTCCCATTCGCGAGCACAATCAGGTTAGAACTTTAGGTTGTACACCTAAATTTGAATTTCCCTGCTTTGATGGAAGTAATCCTAGGATATTGATTCAAAAGTGTGTTAAGTATTTTGAGTTGTGCAAGATTGATAATAGTCAGAAGGTTGACTTAGCATCTCTTTATTTGAATGGGAGGGCAGAATCATGGTTTAATAGTTACATTATATTGCAGTGCATAAATCTGTTTTATGGGAGCAGTTCATAATTGATCTTTGTGCAAGATTTAATGAAGAAATAGGGTTTAATGTTGTGGAAGAGTTTAACAAGTTGCAGCAAACTGGTTCTCTTGATGAATATTTGGATGCTTTTGAACATCTTAAGGGTTTGATGCTTCAGAGAAATAGTAATTTGCCAGATTCCTATTTCCTGGACAGTTTTATTGGGGGACTGAAGGTGTCTATCAAATCTTTTGTAAGGGCTTTTAAACCAAATTCCTTATATAATGTTATAGAATATGCCAGATTGTTGGAAAATAGCCTTCTACCTATTAAACGTGCAGATAAACCTAATCCCGATAAACCACTCCTAAAAAACCCCACTTATCCACCTTACTAGGGAATGAAATCCAATGTGGTTAGAAATGATCAAGCAGGATCTTCTAATCAATTCATGCCCAGGAGAAGGCCTCCTTTACCTGCAGACATAGAAGAAAGGAGGAGGAGAAATCTGTGCTTCCACTGTGATGAGACCTATTCACCAGGCCATAAATGCAAGTCTCAACTCTATCAATTACAGATCATACCATTGGAAAAGGAGGAAGAACTGATAGAAGAATCCAAAGGAACATATTCAGGTGTGCTACTACAAGAAGAAGAGACCAACAGGTGTGTTGAAATAACCTCAGAAGAACAACCACTGATATCCTTGAATGCTTTATCCGGCAGAAATGATTTCCAGACCATGAGGGTCACAAGAAGGGTCAAGAAGAATGACTTACATGTATTGATAGACTCTGGAAGCACTCACAAATTCTTAGATCAAAACATTGCTAAAAGGCTTGGATGCAAGATCACCAATTCATACCCCTTAGAGGTCTCTGTAGCTAATGGAGAGAAGTTGATTACTACTCAAATATGCAAACAATTCACATGGTCTTTGCATGGGGTTGAATTCACTACAGATGCAATGATAGTACCATTGGGTGGATGTGAAATGGTTTTGGGGATCCAGTGACTAGCTTCTTTGGGTCCTGTATTATGGGATTTCAAAAAACTACAGATGGAATTCCAATATCATGGCAGAAAAGTGGTACTGAGGGGCATAAAAAGTGGCAAGCTGCTGGGATTTCGAGGGGAACCAATGGGAGAAGTAATCAGAAGAGAGGGGAAGAATGACATGGGGGAGTTATTTGCTATTCAATTGCAACAGGTCCCTCAAATTTCAGAAGCAAAGAAGGAGCAAACCCCTGAGCTTATCAGTCAAGTTCTGGCAGAATTTGAAGATATTTTTGAAGAACCTAAACAGTTACCTCCTCCAAGAGAACAAGATCATCAAATCCACTTAAAACCTGGCACCACCCCCATCAATGTTAGACCCTATAGATATCCAGTGAGTCAGAAAGATGCTATAGAACAGATCACCCAAGAAATGCTATCCACTGGCATTATCAGAAATAGTAAGGGTCCTTATTCTTCTCCTGTGGTATTGATAAAGAAAAAAGATGGGACCTAGAGATTCTGCGTGGACTATAGGGAATTAAACAAGCACACAATCAAAGATAAGTTCCCTATACCTGTGATTGATGAGCTTATTGATAAACTCCATGGATCTTACTATTTTTCTAAAATAGATTTAAGATCAGGTTACTGGCAGATAAGAATGAGGGAAGAAGACATTGAAAAGATTGCATTCAGAACACATGAAGGCCACTATGAATTCGTAGTGATGTCTTTTGGCCTTACCAATGCACCTTCAACATTTCAGAGCCTGATGAATGCAATTTTCAAGCCTTTTCTGAGGAAGTTTATACTTGTCTTCTTTGATGATATACTCATCTACAGTGCAGATCTCATATCTCATGCCCAGCATCTGCATAAGACCTTAAGTATTCTGAGACAGCACTCTTTATTTGCAAAAAAGAGTAAATGTTTTTTTGGAGTAAAGAAGGTTGAATACCTGGGGGCTGGGGCATCTCATTTCAGGAGAAGGAGTGGAAACTGACCCCTCTAAAATACAAGCTATGAAAGAATGGCCTACTCCTAAAAACATCAAAGGTTTAAGAGGTTTCTTGGGCCTCACTGGATACTACCGGAAATTCATTAAAGGTTATGGGCTTATCAGCAAACCCCTTACCAATTTACTGAAGAAGAACACTTTCAATTGGAATCAAGAAGCTGAGTATGCTTTCAACCAGTTAAAGGAAGCAAT